AAGTCACTACAACAACTTTATAACAAACTGGTCAAAGAATTTCAATTCTGATGAAATATAATATACACCAGTTTTATATACATACTAGATTGATTGCCCAGCTTTGCCCGGGATAGTGAGAGAAAGTCTTATTCTCCCGTCCTCTACCTCGTCTTTGTCTCCACCGCCACCCTATCTGTAGGCCTAGGGAAAATATGTCTAACTAAATATATGTATTTTATGTCTCGTCTTCTACTTCATCTCGCCGCGGATCGGAAGGTCGTGGGTTCGCTCCCTGGCGGAGCCGGACTTATTTCAAAAATGACCTTGGCTCCCAGGTCGACCCAGCCTTGAGTGGGTACCGGGTGCAGTCCCGGGAAAGTAAAGGCGGCCGGCGTGATACTGACCACATCACCCATCTTGTGCCGATTGGTCTATGAAAATATAGGTCTAGCCCCATATGCCCTATACGCCTAAAGGCGTGGAAAAGGGTCCTTTACTTTACTATTTCTTTTACTTCTACTTCATCTATAAATTCTTGATACTACGCTGAATATACTCCAGCTCGATTTACTTCAGTCCATTCTCCTTCTTCTTCTGCGTTCGACATCAGCCATGCTACACACTGAGTCCCGTCTGGGTCAAAAATAGGATTGTGCGTTTAAGGTCGCCACTGGTCCCCCATAGCTTCTCTCGCAATGTGGATCCCCTGGGCCAGATCCACAGTCTTTGCTGGGAGAGGTAACTAACATATCGCTAGTGCGTAGATGTCCGATTTTTAGTCCCGTGCCAAGTAGGCTGACACTTCAGTCCAGAACTGTTTGATGTCGACCCTTTAATATACACCACTAGAATGTCACCTGGCCACCGTCTTAACTAGAGGCCGGTTGACGTGTTTCATCTCCGGGTTGAACGGAGAAACCATTTCTCAAGTGAGTGAGTGAGCTACGTCATAGTCTTCCGGCGTTGTCAAATCACCTCTGCCTTTGTTACCTGAAACACGGACCATTTCCTTGACCTGTCTTTTAGGTTGAATTAAGAATTGACATCACAGCACCCGGGACACCCCCATAAGCGCTCTGTCCCCATCTTCAACAGCAACAGAAGAGTTAAAACTCCGATGGTACCAGTAACTGTCTGATTGTATATCCGTCTCGGCCAGATCCCCTTGTAACTCCTCGTAGTGTCATTCTCTTCAAACCGTAATGATCTATCTGTGCCTCGACCCCAAAGGGCCCTCTCAACATCCAGCTTGTCATTCATCAGTGGTGCATAACCGGTCAGTCTATCTGCCTGCTCATTTCCCAACACACCGGCATTACCTGGCAAAAATATCCAAAGGATGCTAACTACCCGGGACTTTTGAAGTGATGCTTGCCACTCTGCATGGAGCATGCCTGTCTCCATCTTTCTCAACATGCTCTGTGAGTCAGTTACAATGACGGCATGTGTATACAGCTGATTCTCAAGCCAACGGAAGGCAGCAGTGACTGCCTCCACCTCCATTCTCAAACTAGACGTTGTGGTATCATATGCCAGTCTTTGTTGCACCAAGCGACGTCCATTCGCCTTCGCTATGAACCCCCATGCACTTTGTCTGCCCCTCAACACAGAGCCGGGGCGGGAATTTTTATGAATCATTTGTAACTTCTGATTCTGCAGCACCAGCTGACCAGTCCCTGCACTCACGTCCCAAAGTGATTAGAACCCTACACAAGTCTGAAACCTGATCGGACACTCTGACCGACTCCTCTCCTCGCCTAAAGTTATCAAGTCTGCACACATGTCCAATTGTATCTTCAGCTTGCGCCATCCAAGACATTCCTTTTTTTCTTGCTGTGACCCTTAGCTCTACCCAGGGCTTCATTCAGTAGGTGCTTCTTGTCCCCAGCTACTCTGAGATATGACTTTGCTTGCAGAACTTTGAGCCTGTCTGCAATAGAAGGCAGTGCAAGTATATATCGCACACATACTACCGGGGTATCTCTTGTACATCCTAGAATCACCCGCACGGCTTAATTCTGTATGCATTCAAGTTTCTTTCACAGATCCCTAACTCATTTTTGTATATTAGCTTCCATTTTTTCGCACTTTCATGGATTATTTTTGTATTTTATAAATAAATTATATTTTTAGTACGATATAAAAGTTTTTTTTTTTTTTTAATGAAAAATTTAAAATTGAATACCTTTTATCCAAAAAACATTTGGTACTATTCGCAACAAAAAATTTCGACAGCCCTGGTTAGGTGAGGTCCCGCGAGAGCGAGATAATGCGAGAAAATAATCATGGCGACTGCTGGCTTCTAGCACAACCGCCTGTTGCCCGCGGTCTGCGACTTGTGGTTTGTTTTCTCTCTTGAAATGCTCGAGGTAAGCGCTTTGTCGCTGGCTTTTGCTACATTTTCTATCCTGACAGCATCCTAAACTGGCAAATATGGCTTTAGTCTGCGTATAAATTTGCTGTGCTTGTTGGCATCGTCTCTGTTAAGATTTGACAGAGTAAGTCGTTTTCAGTGGCCGGACTGAGTCTGACCGACAGTAACATTGTAAGTGACCATTATACCCTGATTGTTTTCCGGACAGCCATTCCAGCGCATACTGAGCTTTAAAAAATAACCCAGGACACAAGGTCTGCAACACATGTCACTTATAACATTGTTTTAGCATTTATTTACTATTGTAAATGATGTTTTAAGTGAATATATATTCCTTTCCTGACCTAAATGCTGTGTAACCTTAGCATGAACTCATGAACTAGCTGTCGTGTAAACACATCCGTGTAGAAATGCTGGCTAAGTGGCACTCAGCCTGTTTCACGAGGAAGAGCTGGTTGAGAGGTGCCAGTGTCTGCCTCCGTCCACAAGCTGTTTGGTTTGGTTCTCAGGTATTGTAACACACAAGACCTTTCAGCTGCATGTGACGCCCTGTTGGAATCAGTTTGGAAGATGCAGGGGGAGCACAGAAACCCCTCCCCCTCCCCCCAACCCTTTTCCAACTTTGATTTAGAAAGAGATGGTGTGATTGTACTAGGTCTGTACAGAGGTCCTCACTCCCGCTGTTTATATATTTATGGGCTGTTTTCATAGCTCAGACAGTCTGAATGCCTGTGCAGAGTTCTCAGGGCACAAGAGTGAAGAACTGAAATAAGTCTTTTTTCTCCACCTGTTGTTTTATATTAATATGGAGTATTTTTGTTTCACCAAACTTTAATGTATTAATGTTTCTCTGTTCTACCAAAATCATGTCATCTAATGCAGTAATGTTTCTCTGTTCCACCAAAATCATGTCATCTAATGCAGTAATGTTTCTCTGTTCCATCAAAATCTTGTCATCTAATGCAGTAATGTTTCTCTGTTCTACCAAAATCATGTCATCTAATGCAGTAATGTTTCTCTGTTCCACCAAAATCATGTCATCTAATGCAGTAATGTTTCTGTGTTCTACCAAAATCATGTCATCTAATGCAGTAATGTTTCTCTGTTCTACCAAAATCATGTCATCTAATGCAGTAATGTTTCTCTGTTCCACCAAAATCATGTCATCTAATGCAGTAATGTTTCTCTGTTCCATCAAAATCTTGTCATCTAATGCAGTAATGTTTCTCTGTTCTACCAAAATCATGTCATCTAATGCAGTAATGTTTCTCTGTTCCACCAAAATCATGTCATCTAATGCAGTAATGTTTCTCTGTTTACCAAAATCATGTCATCTAATGCAGTAATGTTTCTCTGTTCCACCAAAATCATGTCATCTAATGCAGTAATGTTTCTGTGTTCTACCAAAATCATGTCATCTAATGCAGTAATGTTTCTCTGTTCTACCAAAATCATGTCATCTAATGCAGTAATGTTTCTCTGTTCCACCAAAATCATGTCATCTAATGCAGTAATGTTTCTCTGTTCCATCAAAATCTTGTCATCTAATGCAGTAATGTTTCTCTGTTCCACCAAAATCATGTCATCTAATGCAGTAATGTTTCTCTGTTCCACCAAAATCATGTCATCTAATGCAGTAATGTTTCTGTGTTCCATCAAAATCTTGTCATCTAATGCAGTAATGTTTCTCTGTTCTACCAAAATCATGTCATCTAATGCAGTAATGTTTCTCTGTTCTACCAAAATCATGTCATCTAATGCAGTAATGTTTCTCTGTTCTACCAAAATCATGTCATCTAATGCAGTAATGTTTCTGTGTTCCATCAAAATCTTGTCATCTAATGCAGTAATGTTTCTCTGTTCTACCAAAATCTTGTCATCTAATGCAGTAATGTTTCTCTGTTCCACCAAAATCATGTCATCTAATGCAGTAATGTTTCTGTGTTCCATCAAAATCATGTCATCTAATGCAGTAATGTTTCTGTGTTCCACCAAAATCATGTCATCTAATGCAGTAATGTATCTCTGTTCCACCAAAATCATGTCATCTAATGCAGTAATGTATCTCTGTTCCACCAAAATCATGTCATCTAATGCAGTAATGTATCTCTGTTCCACCAAAATCATGTCATCTAATGCAGTAATGTTTCTCTGTTCCACCAAAATCATGTCATCTAATGCAGTAATGTATCTCTGTTCCACCAAAATCATGTCATCTAATGCAGTAATGTATCTCTGTTCCACCAAAATCATGTCATCTAATGCAGTAATGTTTCTCTGTTCCATCAAAATCATGTCATCTAATGCAGTAATTTTTCTCGGCACCACCAAAATCATGTCATCTAATGCAGTAATGTTTCTCTGTTCCACCAAAATCATGTCATCTAATGCAGTAATGTATCTCTGTTCCACCAAAATCATGTCATCTAATGCAGTAATGTTTCTGTGTTCCACCAAAATCATGTCATCTAATGCAGTAATGTTTCTGTGTTCCACCAAAATCATGTCATCTAATGCAGTAATGTTTCTCGGCACCACCTAAATCATGTCATCTAATGCAGTAATGTTTCTGTGTTCCACCAAAATCTTGTCATCTAATGCAGTAATGTTTCTCTGTTCCACTCCAGCATTGTATGGGGCCCAGATGGAGAGTACTATTGTGAAAGATTTTCAAAATCTCCGAGTGTTTGCACAGCGAAATTTTATAGGAATGGATGAGCTTGTGCAAGACCTCGCAACAGCGTTGGAAGAAACTGCCAATGTTGGCAGGCCTGGCACCTCTCAGGCAGAAGGTGCCAGTTCCAGCACATATCCTCGACGCTATGTGAAAAAACGACGAGGAATTCGTCGCTCTTCTGCTAACAATTACTACTGGAAACGGGGGACGATCAGCGAGGCTTCAGAAAGCAGCATCGACGAGCAGCCAATGAGAGACTACGCTGGAAATGTGATACACAGTGATTCAGATGATCTGGCCGCCCGTCAGAGAATCCCCAAACTGACAGTTCCGCTCGTGGATTCTGTACCTCCAGTGGAATCTGATTCATTCACTGAAAACCTTTCTCCTTTGCGACCGCAGCGGCGGAGGAGGAGATTCAAAACCATGGCAGTAGATTCGTCACCGTTGACTGACCACATTCTCTCTGATGCTGATTCAGGGGAGAAACATTTGCCACGGAGGAGGGACGACTGTCCTGTAACCACAGCAGAACGTTCAGTCTGTTCGCTGCAGCGAGGTTTAATGTCCACATCTGGCAGCTTCTCTCAGTCCTACCCTTTTATGGCAGGGAAACGAAAACGCAGCAGCAAAAGTCGTACAGACTATAACACCTGCTCTCACACAGAAATTCTGACTCACCACAAGGGGGCGCCGTTTCATGTGGACAGGATGGAGGTGGCCAGTATCTCGCAGTAAGTTTCTTCTTGTCCTCACTGTAGCAGAATTGCGATTGTTTTGCTTTACTATCATCTTTCATATCATATTTCAAATCTTCTCATTTTTACTATAATCTTTCATATCATATTTCATATTTTCTCATGTTTACTATCATCTTTCATATCTTCTCAAGTTTCATGTCTTCTTATGTTTACTATCATGTTTCATATCACATTTCAAATATCTTCTCAAGTTTCATACCTTCTCAAGTTTCATGTCTTCTCATGTTTACTATAATGTTTCATATCATATTTCATATCTTCTCAAGTTTCATATCTTCTCAAGTTTCATATCTTCTCATTTTTACTATCATGTTTCATATCACATTTCATATCTTCTCAAGTTTCATGTCTTCTTATGTTTACTATAATGTTTCATATCATATTTCATATCTTCTCAAGTTTCATATCTTCTCAAGTTTCATATCTTCTCATTTTTACTATCATGTTTCATATCATATTTCATATCTTCTCAAGTTTCATATCTTCTCAAGTTTCATGTCTTCTCATGTTTACTATAATGTTTCATATCATATTTCATATCTTCTCAAGTTTCATGTCTTCTCATGTTTACTATAATGTTTCATATCATATTTCATATCTTCTCAAGTTTCATATCTTTTTATGTTTACTATCAAGTTTCATATCTTCTTATGTTTACTATCATGTTTCATATCATATTTCATATTTTCTCAAATTTCAAATCTTCTCATCTTCACTATCATCTTTCATATCGTATTTCATATCTTCTCATGTTTACTATAATCTTTCAAATCATATTTCATATCTTCCCAACATATCTTAACTACTATCATGTTTCATATCTTCTTGTGTTTACTATCATGTTTCATATCTTCTCGTGTTTACTATCATGTTTCAATTCATATTTCATATCTTCTCATTTCATATCTTCTTATGTTTACTATCATGTTTCATATCTTCTCAAGTTTCATATCTTCTCATGTTTACTATCATGTTTCATATCTTCTCGTGTTTACTATCATGTTTCATATCTTCTCATGTTTACTATCATGTTTCATATCTTCTCGTGTTTACTATCATGTTTCAATTCATATTTCATATCTTCTCATTTCATATCTTCTTATGTTTACTATCATGTTTCATATCTTCTCAAGTTTCATATCTTCTCATGTTTACTATCATGTTTCATATCTTCTCGTGTTTACTATCATGTTTCATATCTTCTCATGTTTACTATCATGTTTCATATCTTCTCGTGTTTACTATCATGTTTCATATCTTCTCATGTTTACTATCATGTTTCATATCTTCTCATGTTTACTATCATGTTTCCAATCATATTTCATATCTTCTCGTTTCATATCTTCTTATGTTTACTATCATGTTCCATATTACATTTCATATCTTCTCAAGTTTCATGTCTTCTCATGTTTACTATCATGTTTCATATCTTCTCATGTTTACTATCATCATTCATATCATATTTCATATCTTCTCATGTTTACTATCATCTTTCATATAATATTTCATATCTTCTCAAATTTCAAATCTTCTCATGTTTACTATCATCTTTCATATCATATTTCATATCTTCTCATGTTTACATTTGTGAACTGGATGATTTTGATGTACAGTGAGGATGATCTGTCAGCTTAATTGCTTTCTGTTTTCTCTTGTCGTTTGTCCTCAAATAAAGATGTTTCTTGTACTGGAACTCACAAGTAGAGACGTCTCAGTGTCACTGTCAAATGTGCTCCATATTTCTGTAGCAGAATGTGAAGACTGGATGATTACATCCCTGAGTTATCATATGATTACATCCCTGTGTTTTCAAATGATTACATCCCTGTGTTTTCATATGAATGCATCCCTGAGTTTTTCCTTCAGCCCTGTGATTACATCCCAGTGTTTTCATGTTTCTAATTTGATATCTGCGTATGACCAGGGAGAGTTCCCTCAGCAGCAGTGAGTTCGACAGTGATCTCAACGGCAACAATGAGGATACCAGAGAAGGTCAGTGTGTGTGTCACCTGGCATACATAGTACATACATGTAGGTGTTTCTGTCTTACTTGGCTCACATAGTACGTACATGTAGGTGTTTGTAGCTTGCTGTCTTACCTGGCATACATAGTACATACATGTAGGTGTTTGTCACTTGCTGTCTTACCTGGCATACGTAGTACATACATGTAGGTGTTTGTCACTTGCTGTCTTACCTGGCATACATAGTACTTACATGTAGGTGTTTGTCACTTGCTGTCTTACCTGGCATACATAGTACATACATGTAGGTGTTTGTCACTTGCTGTCTTACCTGGCATACATAGTACGTACATGTAGGTGTTTGTCACTTGCTGTCTCACCTGGCATACATAGTACATACATGTAGGTGTTTGTCACTTGCTGTCTCACCTGGCATACGTAGTACATACATGTAGGTGTTTGTCACTTTCTGTCTTACCTGGCATACATAGTACACACATGTAGGTGTTTGTCACTTGCTGTCTTACCTGGCATACATAGTACATACATGTAGGTGTTTGTCACTTGCTGTCTTACCTGGCATACATAGTACGTACATGTAGGTGTTTGTCACTTGCTGTCTCACCTGGCATACATAGTACATACATGTAGGTGTTTGTCACTTGCTGTCTTACCTGGCATACATAGTACATACATGTAGGTGTTTGTCACTTGCTGTCTTACCTGGCATACATAGTACATACATGTAGGTGTTTGTCACTTGCTGTCTTACCTGGCATACATAGTACTTACATGTAGGTGTTTGTCACTTGCTGTCTTACCTGGCATACATAGTACACACATGTAGGTGTTTGTCACTTGCTGTCTTACCTGGCATACATAGTACATACATGTAGGTGTTTGTCACTTTCTGTCTTACCTGGCATACATAGTACACACATGTAGGTGTTTGTCACTTGCTGTCTTACCTGGCATACATAGTACATACATGTAGGTGTTTGTCACTTGCTGTCTTACCTGGCATACATAGTACATACATGTAGGTGTTTGTCACTTGCTGTCTTACCTCGCATACGTAGTACATACATGTAGGTGTTTGTAGCTTGCTGTCTTACCTGGCATACATAGTACATACATGTAGGTGTTTGTCGCTTTAGTACGCTCCAGGACTATACCTGGTACTCATTCAAGTCTAGGTCGACCTGGGAGACAATGTCATTTAACGTCTACTTGTAGTCTTATAAGTTCTGATGTCTCTGAACTAACTTCATGAAATCTACACTCTGTCTCTGAACTAACTTCATGAAATCTACGATCTGATGTCTCTGAACTAACTTCATGGAATCTACGATCTGATGTCTCTGAACTAACTTCATGAAATCTACGATCTGTCTTTGAACTAACTTCATGAAATCTACGATCTGATGTCTCTGAACTATCTTCATGAAATCTACGATCTGATGTCTCTGAACTAACTTCATGAAATCTACACTCTGTCTCTGAACTAACTTCATGAAATCTACGATCTGATGTCTCTGAACTAACTTCATGAAATCTACGATCTATTGTCTCTGAACTATCTTCATGAAATCTACGATCTGATGTCTCTGAACTGACTTCATGAAATCTACGATCTGATGTCTCTGAACTGACTTCATGAAATCTTCAATCTGATGTCATTCATTAGTTCTTATCTCATGCCAGGTGGGAATCGATGAACTCAGAGTTAGTCCTGTGTGGCTAGTCCAGGGTTAAATGTCTGTGATTTGCTGGATGCTGTCAAGTTTGTCATCTGTGAATGTTGAGTTTGTCAGACATCGCTGAGTGAATGTTGAGTTTGTTAGACATTGTTGACTCTGTTACATTTGCTGTGTGGATTAGTGAATGCTGAGTCTGTCACACATTGCTGTGTGGATTAGTGAATGCTGAGTCTGTCACACATTGCTGTGTGGATTAGTGAATGCTGAGTCTGTCAGGGATTGCTGTGTGGATTAGTGAATGCTGAGTCTATCAGGGATTGCTGTGTGGATTAGTGAATGCTGAGTCTGTCAGGGATTGCTGTGTGGATTAGTGAATGCTGAGTCTGTCAGGGATTGCTGTGTGGATTAGTGAATGCTGAGTCTATCAGGGATTGCTGTGTGGATTAGTGAATGCTGAGTCTGTCACACATTGCTGTGTGGATTAGTGAATGCTGAATCTGTCACACATCTCTGTGTGGATTAGTGAATGCTGAATCTGTCACATTGCTGTGTGGATTAGTGAATGCTGAGTCTGTCACACATTGCTGTGTGGATTAGTGAATGCTGAGTCTGTCACATTGCGGTGTGGATTAGTGAATGCTGAGTCTGTCACACATTGCTGTGTGGATTAGTGAATGCTGAATCTGTCACACATTGCTGTGTGGATTAGTGAATGTTGAGTCTGTCACACATTGCTGTGTGGATTAGTGAATGCTGAGTCTGTCACACATTGCTGTGTGGATTAGTGAATGCTGAATCTGTCACACATTGCTGTGTGGATTAGTGAATGCTGAGTCTGTCACACATTGCTGTGTGGATTAGTGAATGTTGAGTCTGTCACACATTGCTGTGTGGATTAGTGAATGCTGAATCTGTCACACATCTCTGTGTGGATTAGTGAATGCTGAATCTGTCACACATCTCTGTGTGGATTAGTGAATGCTGAATCTGTCACACATCTCTGTGTGGATTAGTGAATGCTGAATCTGTCACACATCTCTGTGTGGATTAGTGAATGCTGAGTCTGTCACACATTGCTGAGTGGATTAGTGAATGCTGAATCTGTCACACATTGCTGTGCGGATTAGTGAATGTTGAATCTGTCACACATTGCTGTGTGGATTAGTGAATGCTGAATCTGTCACACATTGCTGTGTGGATTAGTGAATGCTGAGTCTGTCACACATTGCTGTGTGGATTAGTGAATGCTGAGTCTGTCACACATCTCTGTGTGGATTAGTGAATGCTGAGTCTGTCACACATCTCTGTGTGGATTAGTGAATGCTGAGTCTGTCACACATCTCTGTGTGGATTAGTGAATGCTGAGTCTGTCACACAATGCTGTGTGGATTAGTGAATGCTGAGTCTGTCACACATCTCTGTGTGGTTTAGTGAATGCTGAATCTGTCACACATCTCTGTGTGGATTAGTGAATGCTGAGTCTGTCACACATTGCTGAGTGGATTAGTGAATGCTGAGTCTGTCACACATTGCTGTGTGGATTAGTGAATGCTGAGTTTGTCACACATTGCTGTGTGGATTAGTGAATGCTGAATCTGTCACACATCTCTGTGTGGATTAGTGAATGCTGAGTCTGTCACACATTGCTGAGTGGATTAGTGAATGCTGAGTCTGTCACACATTGCTGTGTGGATTAGTGAATGCTGAGTCTGTCACATTGCTGTGTGGATTAGTGAATGCTGAGTCTGTCACACAAAGCTGTGTGGATTAGTGAATGCTGAGTCTGTCACACATTGCTGTGTGGATTAGTGAATGCTGAGTCTGTCACACAATGCTGTGTGGATTAGTGAATGCTGAGTCTGTCACATTGCTGTGTGGATTAGTGAATGCTGAGTCTGTCACACAAAGCTGTGTGGATTAGTGAATGCTGAATCTGTCACACATTGCTGGGTGGATATGAGTGCTGCTACCTGTGCAGATAAACTGCCTAGCCAGAATACAATACTGACATCTTGCTGCTACACTGTTGACTGACAATAAAACTTGTCCTCTACATCCTCCAGCCGATGATGAACAGAGCGACTTTTTCCATGAACCGGGTCCAGCGTGTGGGATCCCAGACATTGTCCCCTGGTGGGAAAATGAGCGCGTCACAGATGAACCTTTGTGCATCCACTCGGATTTTGAACGGATACTCACTGGCACCTTTGCCCATCTTCCCAAGTTCACAAATCAGAGTTTCAAGGCCAGGATGGGACGGCTGATATCAGGGGTGAGGTTTCTGTGTGCTGACTGTGGTGTGAGGTTTCTGTGTGGTGTTTGTAGTGTGAGGTTTTAGTGTGGTGTTTGTAGTGTGAGGTGTTTTGGGTGTGAGATTTGTGTTGGTGTGAGGTTTTTGTATAGTGTTTGGGGATGAGTTTTCTCTGTGATGTGAGATTTTTGTGTGGTGTTTGGGGGTTAGTTTTGTCTGTGATGTTAGATTTTTGTGTGGTGTTTGTCGTACATTGTGATGGTAGGAAAGTTGGAGGAGAGGAGAGGCAGGTGGAGACCGAGAAAACAAATGCTGGACAGTTTGACATTATTGCATGGAAGATAGTCTGTGTCAGAGTTGATTAAAAATACATGAAACAGAAGGTTGTGGATAAACAGGACTACCAAGCCACACGGCATGGACTGTAGGAAGAGAAAGTTCTGTGTGTTGTTTGTGGGGTAAGTTTTGTGTGTTTGTACGTAAGTGAAGTTTTGTGTGTGTTTGTACGTAAGTGAAGTTTTGTGTGTGTTTGTACGTAAGTGAAGTTTTGTGTGTGTTTGTACGTAAGTGAAGTTTTGTGTGTGTTTGTACATAAGTGAAGTTTTGTGTTTGTACGTAAGTGAAGTTTTGTGTGTGTTTGTACGTAAGTGAAGTTTTGTGAGTGTTTGTACGTAAGATAAGTTTTGTGTGCTCTGTGTGAAGGCTGAGATCTTTGAAGGGTGAGGTGTGCTTATTGTGATCATTGTAAAAAACTGATGTGTTTTGTGTGTGGAGCCAACTACTGTGTAGATGTCAGCCACATAAATGTACATGTCCTAACCTGAGACTTGAGATGCCAGAAAAGGGCTGCTGTTGTGTGGTTACCTTAGTCCATCCAATACTTTCCTTAAAAAAATATTGTCAATAGTGAAGACTGTAAAGAGGGTGGAGTAACTTGATTTGAGACTATGCACCGTGTGGAGGTGAAGAAAGAATGGTAGCTATTGTTTGTGACACTTATAATGGTTGTCATAGGTAGAGTTTACTGAAACAAATATGTATTGTCTGTGTGACCTGTGCTTGTCCATGTATTGTCTACAGACTGGCCGAGAGATACGACTTGGACGCCGCAAGCTAAAAGGAAAGGTAATCAGTTTTTGTGCAACTTCCGGCCAGAATGACAGATAGCCGGCTGACTGCTGACAAATTATTTCCAGTTAGGTTTTGCTGATGTAAAGGCTCTCATTTCTGGGCCTGTGGGTCCAAAGGTTCCATTGCCGAGCTACAGAGTTGAGTGCTTGCTGCAACACTGTGAGCTGTTGCTTTTATGTGGAATGTATTTTTTTCTTTTGTACCAGCAGTGTGTTGATTGCATTTAAGTGGCAGGTGGCTGACCATGTTCAGAATGGTTTGTGCATATTGCGAGTGTGGTGCAGGTTTTCATAATTGACCATTTTCACTGAAGTGAGCTGGAATTCTCATGTGTGATCGCTAGTGTTGACACACATGACAACTGCCTTATGCATTTTTACTTTGCCTGTGCAAGCTTCAGGATTTTGCTGGGAGAGACAAGTTTTCACATGGGACAGGGAAGGAGATTGTGTGTGATGTCCACTGGCACAGGATAGTAGCAGAGATGGGCTGAGACATGTGAACTGCTGTTTGGATGAAGCTGGACTAGCTAACTCTGCCATGTTCCCTGTTACCAGCAAGTTTGAGGAAACCCTGTTTGAATGAAGCTGGACTAGCTAACTATGCTATGTTCCCTGTTACCAGCAAGTTTGAGGAAACCCTGTTGGGATGAAGCTGGACTAGCTAACTCTGCCATGTTCCCTGTTACCAGCAAGTTTGAGGAAACCCTGTTTGAATGAAGCTGGACTAGCTAACTCTGCTATGTTCCCTGTTACCAGCAAGTTTGAGGAAACCCTGTTTGAATGAAGCTGGACTAGCTAACTATGCCATGTTCCCTGTTACCAGCAAGTTTGAGGAAACCCTGTTTGAATGAAGCTGGACTAGTTAACTCTGCCATGTTCCCTGTTACCAGCAAGTTTGAGGAAACCTTGTTTGAATGAAGCTGGACTACCTAACTATGCCATGTTCCCTGTTACCAGCAAGTTTGAGGAAACCCTGTTTGAATGAAGCTGGACTAGCTAACTATGCTATGTTCCCTGTTACCAGGAAGTTTGAGGAAACCCTGTTTGAATGAACCTGGACTAGCTAACTATGCCATGTTCCCTGTTACCAGCAAGTTTGAGGAAACCCTGTTGGGATGAAGCTGGACTACCTAACTATGCTATGGTCCCTGTTACCAGCAAGTTTGAGGAAACCCTGTTTGAATGAACCTGGACTACCTAACTATGCTATGTTCCCTGTTACCAGCAAGTTTGAGGAAACCCTGTTGGGATGAAGCTGGACTAGCTAACTATGCTATGTTTCCTGTTACCAGCAAGTTTGAGGAAACCTTGTTTGAATGAAGCTGGACTACCTAACTATGCTATGTTCCCTGTTACCAGGAAGTTTGAGGAAACCCTGTTTGAATGAACCTGGACTAGCTAACTATGCCATGTTCCCTGTTACCAGCAAGTTTGAGGAAACCCTGTTGGGATGAAGCTGGACTACCTAACTATGCTATGTTCCCTGTTACCAGCAAGTTTGAGGAAACCCTGTTTGAATGAAGCTGGACTAGCTAACTCTGCCATGTTCCCTGTTACCAGCAAGTTTGAGGAAACCCTGTTGGGATGAAGCTGGACTAGCTAACTCTGCTATGTTCCCTGTTACCTGCAAGTTTGAGGAAACCCTGTTTGAATGAAGCTGGACTAGCTAACTATGCTATGTTCCCTGTTACCAGCAAGTTTGAGGAAACCCTGTTTGAATGAAGCTGGACTAGCTAACTATGCTATGTTCCCTGTTACCAGCAAGTTTGAGGAAACCTTGTTTGAATGAAGCTGGACTACCTAACTATGCTATGTTCCCTGTTACCAGCAAGTTTGAGGAAACCCTGTTTGAATGAAGCTGGACTAGCTAACTATGCTATGTTCCCTGTTACCAGCAAGTTTGAGGAAACCTTGTTTGAATGAAGCTGTACTAGCTAACTATGCTATGTTCCCTGTTACCAGCAAGTTTGAGGAAACCTTGTTTGAATGAAGCTGGACTACCTATGCTATGTTCCCTGTTACCAGCAAGTTTGAGGAAACCCTGTTTGAATGAAGCTGGACTAGCTAACTATGCTATGTTCCCTGTTACCAGCAAGTTTGAGGAAACCCTGTTTGAATGAAGCTGGACTAGCTAACTATGCTATGTTCCCTGTTACCAGCAAGTTTGAGGAAACCTTGTTTGAATGAAGCTGGACTACCTAACTATGCTATGTTCCCTGTTACCAGCAAGTTTGAGGAAACCCTGTTTGAATGAAGCTGGACTAGCTAACTATGCTATGTTCCCTGTTACCAGCAAGTTTGAGGAAACCTTGTTTGAATGAAGCTGGACTACCTAACTATGCTATGTTCCCTGTTACCAGCAAGTTTGAGGAAACCTTGTTTGAATGAAGCTGGACTACCTAACTATGCTATGTTCCCTGTTTTCAGCAAGTTTGAGGAAACCCTGTTGGGATGAAGCTGGACTAGCTAACTCTGCCATGTTCCCTGTTACCAGCAAGTTTGAGGAAACCCTGTTGGAATGAAGCTGGACTAGCTAACTATGCTATGTTCCCTGTTACCAGCAAGTTTGAGGAAACCCTGTTGGGATGAAGCTGGACTAGCTAACTATGCTATGTTCCCTGTTACCAGCAAGTTTGAGGAAACCCTGTTGGGATGAAGCTGGACTACCTAACTATGCTATGTTCCCTGTTACCAGCAAGTTTGAGGAAACCCTGTTGGGATGAAGCTGGACTAGCTAACTATGCTATGTTCCCTGTTACCAGCAAGTTTGAGGAAACCCTGTAGGGTCCGGGTGCCCACAGATGTGCAGTGGTGGCTGCTGAGGCTACAGTTGCTCTCGATCAATGTGAAGTTCTTAGATTGTTCAATGAGTGCTCAGTGTGGGTGACTACAACGTAAGATAGGTGACACTCACCAGAGACTTGGCTATCACACTGTGGTGGGTGACTACAACGTAAGATAGGTGACACTCACCAGAGACTTGGCTATCACACTGTGGTGGGTGACTACAACGTAAGATAGGTGACACTCACCAGGGACTTGGCTATCACACTGTGGTGGGTGACTACAACGTAAGATAGGTGACACTCACCAGAGACTTGGCTATCACACTGTGGTGGGTGACTACAACGTAAGATAGGTGACACTCACCAGAGACTTGGCTATCACACTGTGGTGGGTGACTACAACGTAAGATAGGTGACACTCACCAGAGACTTGGCTATCACACTGTGGTGGGTGACTACAACGTAAGATAGGTGACACTCACCAGGGACTTGGCTATCACACTGTGGTGGGTGACTACAACGTAAGATAGGTGACACTCACCAGGGACTTGGCTATCACACTGTGGTGGGTGACTACAACGTAAGATAGGTGACACTCACCAGGAACTTGGCTATCACACTGTGGTGGGTGACTACAACGTAAGATAGGTGACACTCACCAGGGACTTGGCTATCACACTGTGGTGGGTGACTACAACGTAAGATAGGTGACACTCACCAGAGACTTGGCTATCACACTGTGGTGGGTGACTACAACGTAAGATAGGTGACACTCACCAGAGACTTGGCTATCACACTGTGGTGGGTGACTGACCCAGGACAGTTGATGTGTCAGGCCAGGCCCACACATGTGGATTGTTCTAGTATGTTGATGCTCATGTGTTGTATTATTTATTTGTTAGATGCCCCGGTACACAGTTGGAAGATTTCTACAAGACAGGGAACACTGGAGCCGCATGCAAGGTCACCACCACCAGGTCTCGCAGCTGCCTGCCTCCTCCAGCAGCTGCAGCAGCAACAACAGCAGCAGTAATGGTCACGGGGTGGAGTTCAAGCGGCGGAAACATGTCAGCAGAAACGTGACCGCAGCTTGTGGCCTGGAAGGTAATGTGCCAGCTGTTGTCTGTATCCGTGAACAGTTTCAGGAAATCTGCTTGTGTCTCCCGGGAAGTTTCCTGTGTGGGTTCTGGAGCCCCATTGTAAGCTGGTGGGAGGGGGTCCACATAACAAGTGTGTTACAGCAAGGCAACTAATTTTGCTGAAATCTGAGGTATTGGGCATCTGTCACAACTGTGAACCATAACACAACCTGGCAACTGCCCTTGTACAGGCAGATGCAGGAGGATTAGCTCCCAGCAAGTGAGGCCAACCTGTGTGTCTGCTTCTTCATTAATGATATAATTGGGTTAACAGATTCTGCTGTTTCTGGGATAATGAAGTCAGTCCCATGCCAGCTGTTCTTAGATGCCTGATTCAGCATTCCTGCTGGTACCAGTGTTAGGGGTCATTGCTTTCATGATATGCGCCCCTCCCCCCCCCCCCCCCCCCCTCCAAAGAGAGGTCATACATAGGCGTCTTTGTGAGTCAAGGAGCACAAGTCTTGACCAGCTGTTTCAGTCCCAGAGTTTTGATGTCCAAGTGGGCACAGAATCTGCTGTGATAAATGATGGCTGCAAGAGGCTAAATACTCTGTGAAACTGGCCAACAGGTTTGCCAGAATTCTTTAGTTTGCAGTGACCAAAGGTATAGCTCAAGAGAACATAACAGGATGGTTGGGACTGATGATTCCAGTGGCACATTGGATATGATGCCGACACCATTCCAAACACAAGAGTTTTCCGTTGGTCCATGCCTACACCATTCCAAACACAAGAGTTCTCTGTTGGTCCATGCCTACACCATTCCAAACACAAGAGTTTTCCGTTGGTCCATGCCTACACCATTCCAAACACAAGAGTTCTCTGTTGGTCCATGCCTACACCATTCCAAACACAAGAGTTTTCTGTTGGACCATGCCTACACCATTCCAAACACAAGAGTTTTCTGTTGGACCATGCCTACACCATTCCAAACACAAGAGTTTTCTGTTGGACCATGCCTACACCATTCCAAACACAAGAGTTTTCTGTTGGACCATGACTACACCATTCCAAACACAAGAGTTTTCTGTTTGACCATGACTACACCATTCCAAACACAAGAGTTTTCTGTTTGACCATGACTACACTATTCCAAACACAAGAGTTCTCTGTTGGACCATGACTACACCATTCCAAACACAAGAGTTCTCTGTTGGTCAATGACCACGCCATTCCAAACACAAGAGTTCTCTGTTGGTCAATGACCACACTATTCCAAACACAAGAGTTCTCTGTTGGTCAATGACCACACCATTCCAAACACAAGAGTTCTCTGTTGGTCAATGACCACACCATTCCAAACACAAGAGTTCTCTGTTGGTCAATGACCACACCATTCCAAACACAAGAGTTCTCTGTTGGTCAATGACCACACCATTCCAAACACAAGAGTTCTCTGTTGGTCAATGACCACACCATTCCAAACACAAGAGTTCTCTGTTGGAACATGCCTACACCATTCCAAACACAAGAGTTCTCTGTTGGACCATGCCTACACTATTCCAAACACAAGAGTTCTCTGTTGGACCATGCCTACACTATTCCAAACACAAGAGTTCTCTGTTGGACCATGCCTACACTATTCCAAACACAAGAGTTCTCTGTTGGACCATGACTACACTATTCCAAACACAAGAGTTCTCTGTTGGACCATGCCTACACTATTCCAAACACAAGAGTTCTCTGTTGGACCATGACTACACTATTCCAAACACAAGAGTTCTCTGTTGGACCATGCCTACACTATTCCAAACACAAGAGTTCTCTGTTGGACCACGACTACACTATTCCAAACACAAGAGTTCTCTGTTGGACCACGACTACACTATTCCAAACACAAGAGTTCTTTGTTGGACCATGCCTACACCATTCCAAACACAAGAGTTCTCTGTTGGAACATGCCTACACTATTCCAAACACAAGAGTTCTCTGTTGGACCATGACTACACTATTCCAAACACAAGAGTTCTCTGTTGGAACATGCCTACACCATTCCAAACACAAGAGTTCTCTGTTGGACCATGACTACACTATTCCAAACACAAAAGTTCTCTGTTGGACCATGCCTACACCATTCCAAACACAAGAGTTCTCTGTTGGAACATGCCTACACCATTCCAAACACAAGAGTTCTCTGTTGGAACATGCCTACACCATTCCAAACACAAGAGTTCTCTGTTGGACCACGACTACACTATTCCAAACACAAGAGTTCTCTGTTGGACCATGACTACACTATTCCAAACACAAGAGTTCTCTGTTGGACCATGCCTACACCATTCCAAACACAAGAGTTCTCTTTTGGAACATGCCTACACTATTCCAAACACAAGAGTTCTCTGTTGGACCATGACTACACCATTCCAAACACAAGAGTTCTCTGTTGGACCATGCCTACACTATTCCAAACACAAGAGTTCTCTGTTGGACCATGACTACACCATTCCAAACACAAGAGTTCTCTGTTGGACCATGCCTACACTATTCCAAACACAAGAGTTCTCTGTTGGACCATGACTACACTATTCGTTCTCTGTTGGAACATGCCTACACCATTCCAAACACAAGAGTTCTCTGTTGGACCATGACTACACCATTCCAAACACAAGAGTTCTCTGTTGGAACATGCCTACACCATTCCAAACACAAGAGTTCTCTGTTGGACCATGCCTACACTATTCCAAACACAAGAGTTTTCTGTTGGACCATGCCTACACCATTCCAAACACAAGAGTTCTCTGTTGGAACATGCCTACACCATTCCAAACACAAGAGTTCTCTGTTGGAACATGCCTACACTATTCCAAACACAAGAGTTCTCTGTTGGACCATGACTACACCATTCCAAACACAAGAGTTCTCTGTTGGAACATGCCTACACTATTCCAAACACAAGAGTTCTCTGTTGGACCATGACTACACCATTCCAAACACAAGAGTTCTCTGTTGGACCATGCCTACACTATTCCAAACACAAGAGTTCTCTGTTGGACCATGACTACACCATTCCAAACACAAGAGTTCTCTGTTGGACCATGCCTACACTATTCCAAACACAAGAGTTCTCTGTTGGAACATGCCTACACTATTCCAAACACAAGAGTTCTCTGTTGGACCATGACTACACCATTCCAAACACAAGAGTTCTCTGTTGGACCATGCCTACACTATTCCAAACACAAGAGTTCTCTGTTGGACCATGACTACACTATTCCAAACACAAGAGTTCTCTGTTGGACCATGACTACACTATTCCAAACACAAGAGTTCTCTGTTGGACCATGCCTACACTATTCCAAACACAAGAGTTCTCTGTTGGACCATGCCTACACTATTCCAAACACAAGAGTTCTCTGTTGGACCATGACTACACTATTCCAAACACAAAAGTTTTCTGTTGGACCATGCCTACACCATTCCAAACACAAGAGTTCTCTGTTGGACCATGCCTACACTATTCCAAACACAAGAGTTCTCTGTTGGACCATGCCTACACTATTCCAAACACAAGAGTTCTCTGTTGGACCATGACTACACTATTCCAAACACAAGAGTTCTCTGTTGGACCATGCCTACACTATTCCAAACACAAAAGTTCTCTGTTGGAACATGCCTACACTATTCCAAACACAAGAGTTCTCTGTTGGAACATGCCTACACCATTCCAAACACAAGAGTTCTCTGTTGGACCATGCCTACACTATTCCAAACACAAGAGTTCTCTGTTGGACCATGCCTACACTATTCCAAACACAAGAGTTCTCTGTTGGACCATGACTACACTATTCCAAACACAAGAGTTCTCTGTTGGACCATGCCTACACTATTCCAAACACAAGAGTTCTCTGTTGGACCATGACTACACTATTCCAAACACAAGAGTTCTCTGTTGGACCATGCCTACACTATTCCAAACACAAGAGTTCTCTGTTGGACCATGACTAAACTATTCCAAACACAAGAGTTCTCTGTTGGACCATGACTACACTATTCCAAACACAAGAGTTCTCTGTTGGACCATGACTACACTATTCCAAACACAAGAGTTCTCTGTTGGACCATGACTACACTATTCCAAACACAAAAGTTTTCTGTTGGACCATGACTACACCATTTTCACACACACACACACACACACATCAAGTGTGGACGAAAACAAATTAATGAAACATTTAATTTAAAGTTCATTCCCACGAGTTGACCCTTCATATTCATTATCATCATGTGCCCTGCCAACTGGCGTAGGCGCTCATACGTCTCCACAGATCATGATCCCTGGTTGCCTGGAACAGCTCTCTTGATGATTTCCCTCCATGCCATCGTTTCAGCCCATCCAGCATCATCTCTCTTGGTCTGCCTCTACCCCTTTCTCCACTGATCTTTCCAGTTGTGACGATGTTCTCCAATATCTCTCTTCTCATTATGTGATCAAAGAACATTGTCTCTTTCTTATTGTTGTATATAGAGATCTTTCATTAGCCTCTTTTAATAAGCAACCGTTAGTTACTCTGGCTGTCCAAGGTATTCGTAACATTCGTCTCAGAAACCACACCTCTGTTGCTTTCAAATTCTTCTTAATTTATTCACTGACATTCCAAGATTTGCTGCCACACAGCAGAATAGTTTCTATGTAACATTTTAGCACCCTCTTTCTGACATTAAATAAGAGCGATTTATTGCATAAGATATTTTTCATTTTCTGAAATGCAGCTTTCACTTGAACTATTCATATAGGTTTGACCCTTCATATTGCTGGCACATTGCTCTCGTTAACATCATTGGGTGTTGCTTTTCAAAATCCCATGTATGGGTGTAGCCTGGACAGAAATTGTGGTGTGTTGCCTTCAGGTGGTGTGTCTGTGACTGAGTGGGTTCTTGGTGACAGTAATTGTTTTGTCTGTGACTGAGTGGGTTCTTGGTGACTGTAATTGTTGTGACTGAGTGGGTTCTTGGTGACTGTAATTGTTGTGACTGTGACTGAGTGGGTTCTTGGTAACAGTAATTGTTGTGTCAGTGACTGAGTGGGTTCTTGGTGACTGTAATTGTTGTGTCTGTGACTGAGTGGGTTCTTGGTGACTGTAATTGTTGTGACTGAGTGGGTTCTTGGTGACTGTAATTGTTGTGACTGAGTGGGTTCTTGGTGACTGTAATTGTTGTGTCTGTGACTGAGTGGGATCTTGGTGACAGTAATTGTTGTGTCTGTGACTGAGTGGTTTCTTGGTGACAGTAATTGTTGTGTCTGTGGCTGAGTGGGTTCTTGGTGACTGTAATTGTTGTGTCTGTGATTGAGTGGGTTCTTGGTGACAGTAAGTGTTGTGTCTGTGGCTGAGTGGGTTCTTGGTGACAGTAATTGTTGTGTCTGTGATTGAGTGGGTTCTAGGTGACTGTAATTGTTGTGTCTGTGACTGAGTGGGTTCTTGGTGACTGTAATTGTTGTGTCTGTGACTGAATGGGTTCTTGGTTGACTGTAATTGTTGTGACTGAGTGGGTTCTTGGTGACAGTAATTGTTGTGTCTGTGACTGAGTGGGTTCTTGGTGACAGTAATTGTTGTGTCTGTGACTGAGTGGGTTCTTGGTGACAGTAATTGTTGTGTCTGTGACTGAGTGGGTTCTTGGTGACAGTAATTGTTGTGTCTGTGACTGAGTGGGTTCTTGGTGACTGTAATTGTGTCTGTGACTGAATGGGTTCTTGGTTGACTGTAATTATTGTGTCTGTGACTGAGTGGGTTCTTGGTGACTGTAATTGTTGTGTCTGTGACTGAGTGGGATCTTTGTGACAGTAATTGTTGTGTCTGTGACTGAGTGGTTTCTTGGTGACAGTAATTGTTGTGTCTGTGACTGAGTGGGTTCTTGGTGACAGTAATTGGTGTGTCTGTGACTGAGTGCATTGATGGTGACTGTAATTGTTGTGTCTGATGCTCCCCCAGGAATGAGCAGCCAGTGCTGTGAGCTGCCTGCCGAAGCCAACCTCAACCCAAAACTGCTGCGACCGTGTGGAAACAGCGTGGTGAAAAACTCTCACAGCCCAGTCTTGGCAGTCCACAGGGTGACCAGGAAAGGTCTGACCGAGCACATCACTGTGTCTGACTCCTGAGCTAGCTAGCTCCTGTATATAGCTGTGCTAGAATGTGTGGAGTATATTTTTATATGTGAGGCTATTTTCACAACAGTTGTATGTTTTACATACATGGATGCTTCCCTTGTGTGTGGAAACATGTCCCATTAGTTAAATTACTTCCAGTCATAGAGCCAGCCGATCAGAAAGTAGCATATATAAATATTTCCCATTATTGAAATTTTTTGCAGCTGGTGAGTGGGATCATAGTTAAAAGAAGGTTCCCTATGTAACTGAAAATAAGTGGTTTAAAAAAATAAATAAAAAAAATTGCAAAATAAACTGATGGCGTGTGTTTAATTGATGGGAAAGCCTGAATGCCTAATAACTACTGAGGTTCCAGATGCAGAAGAACTGCCAGTTGATTGGTGAACCCTAAAATATTCTTGTTTGCAATTTGAACAGGTTCACTCAGTAAATTACACAAATTGCTTAGTAGCTATGTATTTCTAATTATTTGTTTAACTGGCTAAATGCCATCGGATGACTAAGTTGTTTGTTATTTGGAGCACTATATTTGCTGATTGCCTGACTTGTTGATGAGAGTAAAACAAGTTTTTCTGCAGAGTGCCATCAGCACTATACCTAACATGGAATCCTTAAAGAAAGGAAACGGAGGCTTTTATACCAGAACTTCAAAAGAAATGTTCTGTTTGTCTTTCTGATTTATATGCCAACAGGTCTGGAGAGCGTACTGAGTGCTGTGATGGAGGTTCTTACCTAAGTTCACAAGTTGGTTACTTATCCTTGACAGGACATTGCAGAACCTACCCCAGCAGCTTTTTTAAAAACTATTGTGGTTTTTCTAGATAAATTTTACATCCAGTAGTTTGCCACTGCTTTACACAGCAAGTGTGTGGGAGGCAGGCTGGGTAACTCATAGTATGGTCCACGTAAAAGCATCTACATGTGAACTGTGTATGAGGGTATCTGATAGATGACCTGAATTTGTGTGTAAATCTCAGCTGTAACATAAATATATACATATGACAACCACTGTTTGTTTGATTTCAGGTCATATAATTTAGTAACTATATTGTTGTCTGGTTTGTTATTAACAACATGCACCACTTCAAGTGACTCTCACAGTGACCAGCCCTCGGTATTAGAGAGTACTACTTGCTGTTTATCTATGCCTGTACACACACACTTTCACTCTCTCTCTCTTTCATCTCACATACAGAGAAGAAGAAAGTTTGCTACAGAGACAACTCACAAGATGATCTCTAGCATGTCAATAAGAGCACTTTGAAGATCTAGTCAACACCTGAATTCAGCAGGTGAAGGGTATCTATTCACTGACCACACACGACACAAACAACCCAGATATCACCCACACACAAGCAGACATGCATCCACACACACACATGTCACAGACAGACGACAGACATGCATCCATACACAGATGTCACAGACACACCTGAATCCACACACACAGACAGACATGTTTGTGGATACACACAAACATACAAGACACAAACAACTTGAGCTGTGTGTCAATGCTGGAACCCATATCTTGTGGCTACTGGCAGTGGCGTCAGTCCTGTCACATGTCAATATCCAGCAGGTATTTCATGATGACAGCTGTGGAAATGCCTCCAGCAAACATGGACGGCACAGCCACCAGCGACAGCAACATCAGCAGTCCCATGCCTGACAGTCCGTGACCACTGCAGGGGAGAGGAATACATGTGGATTGTTTGTCAGTGATTACAGATTTCAACCTACAAACCCACCTGCTACAAAGAAACATTACATGTGACAATAATGGCAGTGACATCACTAACAGAATCAGAACAACAACTGACAGAATCACCTGAGACCAATGAGATATGCAAGACATGTCACTGGGGAACAGAAGTTTCCAAGTTATAGACACAAATAATAAAAGTAATAGAGGACCCTTTTCCACGGCTTAAGGCATATAGGGCTAGACCTATATTTTATAGACCAGTCGGCAGCACAAGATGGGTGATGTGGTCAGCATCACGCCAGCTGCCTTTACTTCCCGGGACTGCACCCGGTACCCAATCAAGGCTGGGTCGACCTGGGAGCCAAGGTCAATTTTGAAAAAAGTCTGGCTCCGCCAGGGAGCGATCTTCCGATCTGGGGCAAACGTCTAGCCGCTCCGCCACGGCGACTTCCAAATAATAAAAGTACTACAGTAAAATATAAAGAGTAAAACTGATACAGAAAGATGTAGAGGCCAGGTACTGCTGACAGAGCTGATGAGACAAGACAGAACAGAACATAATAAGACCACAAGCTGCTGCCAGATACCAACCTCGAGCAACCACCCGCCAATCGTGCTCCATAAATCATAAATATGCCTCCAAGGAAACTATGCGACGGCAAAACTCCACTGACAGAACCAATGGTTGCTGAAGCTTGTGCAGACAAGTGGGCTCCAAACACTGCTCCACCCATGTAGAATACCTGAGGAACAAGTAGTGATGAGGTGTTAGTTAAAGATAGACCTTTGATCACAGCGTCTGTCTGTGGCTCCAGCCATGTAGAAAACCTGAGGAACAAGTAGTGATGAGGTGTTAGTTAAAGATAGACCTTTGATCACAGCGTCTGTCTGTGGCTCTAGCCATGTAGAATACCTGAGGGACAAGTAGTGATGAGCTGTTAGTTAAAGATAGACCTTAGATCACAGCGTCTGTCTGTGGCTCTAGCAGACCTGCTTTTCACAGTGTTGGCTGTTTGGGTGGCATTTTACCTCTTGCTCCTGTAGGATGTTTCCAGCATCTCCCTATCTCAGACCAGGGCAGGCTTGCAGGATCTGCCCCCTTTTCTAAGAAAAATTAATATTTTGGAATCAACACCAGCAGTGGCATATGAGAGGAAGGCGAGAGGAAGACCAAGAAAGAAAGATAAATGGTGTGGCTGAAACCTGCAAAAACATGAACAAATCCATCACCCAAGCCACCAGAAAAGCGCAAGACAAATATAGAGAAATCACGACACTGGGCTACAACCTTGTATCAGTGAGATGACAAAACCACAACACTAGGCTACAACCAGTCACACAGCAGTGTCAGATGTGAGCACACAAGTCACGTAACAGCTGGCAGTGTCAGATTTGATTTGAGCAAACAAGTCACATAACAGCTGGCAGTGTCAGATGTGAGCACATACAAGTCACATAACAGCTGGCAGTGTCAGATGTGAGCACATACAAGTCACATAACAGCTGGCAGTGTCAGATGTGAGCACATACAAGTCACATAACAGCTGACAGTGTCGGATGTGAGCACATACAAGTCACATAACAGCTGACAGTGTCGGATGTGAGCACATACAAGTCACATAACAGCTGACAGTGTCGGATGTGAGCACATACAAGTCACATAACAGCTAGCAGTGTCGGATGTGAGCACATACAAGTCACATAACAGCTGACAGTGTCGGATGTGAGCACATACAAGTCACATAACAGCTGGCAGTGTCAGATGTGAGCACATACAAGTCACATAACAGCTAGCAGTGTCGGATGTGAGCACATACAAGTCACATAACAGCTGACAGTGTCGGATGTGAGCACATACAAGTCACATAACAGCTGGCAGTGTCGGATGTGAGCACATACAAGTCACATAACAGCTGGCAGTGTCGGATGTGAGCACATACAAGTCACATAACAGCTGGCAGTGTCGGATGTGAGCACATACAAGTCACATAAAAGCTAGCAGTGTCGGATGTGAGCACATACAAGTCACTTAACAGCTGGCAGTGTCGGATGTGAGCACATACAAGTCACTTAACAGCTGACAGTGTCGGATGTGAGCACATACAAGTCACTTAACAGCTAGCAGTGTCGGATGTGAGCACATACAAGTCACTTAACAGCTGGCAGTGTCGGATGTGAGCACATACAAGTCACTTAACAGCTGACAGTGTCAGATGTGAGCACATACAAGTCACTTAACAGCTGGCAGTGTCGGATGTGAGCACACACAAGTCACATAAAAGCTGGCAGTGTCGGATGTGAGCACATACAAGTCACATAACAGCTGGCAGTGTCGGATGTGAGCACATACAAGTCACATAACAGCTGGCAGTGTCGGATGTGAGCACATACAAGTCACATAAAAGCTAGCAGTGTCGGATGTGAGCACATACAAATCACTTAACAGCTGGCAGTGTCAGATGTGAGCACATACAAATCACTTAACAGCTGGCAGTGTCGGATGTGAGCACATACAAATCACTTAACAGCTGACAGTGTCAGATGTGAGCACATACAAGTCACTTAACAGCTGGCAGTGTCGGATGTGAGCACACACAAGTCACATAAAAGCTGGCAGTGTCGGATGTGAGCACACACAAGTCACATAAAAGCTAGCAGTGTCGGATGTGAGCACATACAAGTCACATAACAGCTGGCAGTGTCGGATGTGAGCACACACAAGTCACTTAACAGCTGGCAGTGTCGGATGTGAGCACACACAAGTCACATAAAAGCTAGCAGTGTCGGATGTGAGCACATACAAGTCACATAACAGCTGGCAGTGTCGGATGTGAGCACACACAAGTCACTTAACAGCTGGCAGTGTCGGATGTGAGCACACACAAGTCACATAAAAGCTAGCAGTGTCGGATGTGAGCACATACAAGTCACATAACAGCTGGCAGTGTCGGATGTGAGCACACACAAGTCACTTAACAGCTGGCAGTGTCGGATGTGAGCACATACAAGTCACATAAAAGCTGGCAGTGTCGGATGTGAGCACATACAAGTCACTTAACAGCTGGCAGTGTCGGATGTGAGCACATACAAGTCACATAACAGCCGGCAGTGTCGGATGTGAGCACATACAAGTCACATAACAGCTGACAGTGTCGGATGTGAGCACATACAAGTCACTTAACAGCTGGCAGTGTCGGATGTGAGCACATACAAGTCACTTAACAGCTGGCAGTGTCGGATGTGAGCACATACAAGTCACATAACAGCTGACAGTGTCGGATGTGAGCACATACAAGTCACATAACAGCCGGCAGTGTCGGATGTGAGCACATACAAGTCACATAACAGCCGGCAGTGTCGGATGTGAGCACATACAAGTCACATAACAGCCGGCAGTGTCGGATGTGAGCACATACAAGTCACATAACAGCTGGCAGTGTCGGATGTGAGCACATACAAGTCACTTAACAGCCGGCAGTGTCGGATGTGAGCACATATGTCATATAGAATCTGAACAGTCACAAATGGCTTCCGGATCCTGCAGTATATTCCAGTAAACAAAAACAACAGTGGTTGTGTCACCTGACTGTGAGAATCAATGATTGAACACCACCACACTCAGGACTCTCCCACACATGCTCCATCTTCACCTTCAGCAGCTGACAGAGAGTTCCATGTTGACTGTGCTAGTGGCCAGCTGATTAAAATGTCACTTCTCTGTTGCCCTGTGCCAAGAGCGTCATCCCTGTCGGCCTGTGACATGAGCATCATCCCTGTGCCATGAGTGTCACCCTGTCGCGCTGTGCCATGTATGTCATCTAGACTCAATGAACCGGTTTCTAGCCAGGTCAACACCAGAGACATCTCTATCATCCATTCTGCCATCCTAGACCAGGGGTAGGCAAACTACGGCCCGCAGGCCACACCTGGGCCACCAAGCAATTTTTGCTGGCCCATAAGGCTGGTGTCAAATTCCTATACAATCTGGCCCTTGAATTCACAAAACAGCACAACACAACAACATGCGTTTGTATGCAGAGAGAAAAAAAATCAAAATATCAACATCCAGAAAGTGTTAACCTAAACAGTGATATCCATAAACTGATGTGGCCAAATCTTTGATTCTGCCAGTGAAACACTGGGTGCGGAGATATTCAGAGACAGTATCTGTTGGAGGACTTAAATAATAAAATATACGACAACGACCTTTTTTCCAGAAAAGCTTCAGTGGGTGATTGTCTGGCCAGAGATGTAGCGAGGGATTATGTCACTGACCTCTGGTTGACCTTGATAGTCCCGTGATGACTCGTGGGGTAGGCTTGTGACGGACAATCTAACCTATAACACACTAGACCCAGACACTCACAGAGCACACACCACAATCTTTAATAAAATATCACAGCTGAATAAAATAAGACAGTTGACTTCACACTGTTTGGGCACCTTTTACCCGACTGTGCTAGCTTTACAACTCACTAGACACACCGTCCTGTTCCCTTGGGCAATTTCCAGGTCCAAACCCACATCCTATGTGATACGCTCTTTTCTCAAGCTACCGTCACCCTCAGACGCTACACAAAACTACTATTCTAAATTAACTAATGAACACAATCTATCCGGTCACTACAATGTTATTATTACACACTAAGATTGTAATCCGTCTGAAACTATTGTCTCCTGTCTTATGTCCGAAGTCCCTGTTCCCCAACCTGGTGGGTCCTTTTTCTCACTTGGTGAATTCAGTCCCGGACTTGTAGAAAGCCTGGCCTTGTCAGGCGAGCATTCGATTCACCAAGACCAAACACGTCCAGTCACACTTTGTCACTGTCAGCTATATCGGGTTAAACCGTAGTTTCCGTGCAAACATGAACAGTCATGCTTACACAGTGATGACTGGTCTGTCAATTCTGCGTTCTGTACGCTCACACAGTGCATCCGTCTGCATGGTCTGCACCGACCCATGACTGTCAGATTATAATCTTAGAATATCACACAAAAATACAGTGTTACAAGGAAATCTAAGTTTGATGTTCATAATGGATTGTTTCTATATAGCCTGCGATCAGTTTGATAGTTCTAAATTTTGGACCGCATACCAAAACTGGTTGCTCACTTCTTCTCTATATCTCTGTGTGATCAAAACAACCTCTTGCCTGACTGACAGTGGGTGGAACCCAAACCCTGTATTTGTAAGTCTTGAGATGTATCCACTGTGCCAGTACAACTACATCAAAGACAAAAGTCTCTAAGCTGAGGTTTCAACTTTACTGCGATCAGGTCACCCCGTGTTTGCTCCGTTCCTGTGCCAGTGAAAATCAGATCAAATGTTCCTCACTGATTTATTTGAAAAAATGGTGAACAAACATTTAATCCCGGCACAATCCAGAAATATGTGCACACAGTAAATTGCATTCCCAAATCGTTGTTGGAAGCAAAAAATAACTTTGAAGCTAACCATGCCTAGTCCTCCATTTTAGACCGGAAGTCAAATAAGAGTGTGGGGACATACCTGCCACCAGTTGTGCACTCCTCGGCGGAAGGACTTTAGGTAAGAGAACACAGACTGCAGCGGTTTGAGTGCCAGTGCCTGCGATGCCACGGTCATGTACCCGGTTGTTGACCCTGTCGATTCACACACATGAGTCAGTCAGCCAAAACCAATCATTGAGGTGTGAACAGAGAAAGATAAGCTAAAATACTGAACAGGGAAAGATATAGCTGAAATACTGAACAGGGAAAGATATAGCTGAAATACTGAACAGGGAAAGATATAGCTGAAATACTGAACAGGGAAAGATATAGCTGAAATACTGAACAGGGAAAGATATAGCTGAAATACTGAACAGGGAAAGATATAGCTGAAATACTGAACAGGAAAAGATATAGCTGAAATACTGAACAGGGAAAGATATAGCTGAAATACTGAACAGGGAAAGATACAGCTGAAATACTGAACAGGAAAGATACAGCTGAAATACTGATCTGAGAACGATACAGCTGAAATACTGAACGGGGAAAGAAAGACAGCTGAAATACCAAACAGAAAACGATTCAGCTGAAATACCAGAGTTTGAAACAGCTGAAATACCAAACAGTAAACGACACAGCTGAAATACCAAACAGTGAACAACACAGCTGAAATACCAAACGGTGAACGCACAGCTGAAATACCAAACGGTGAACGACACAGCTGAAATACCAAACAGTGAACGACACAGCTGAAATACCAAACAGTGAACGACACAGCTGAAATACCAAACAGTGAACGACACAGCTGAAATACCAAACAGAGAATGACACAGCTGAAATACCAAACAGTGAATGACACAGCTGACCTGGCCAGTCTAGATGTATCTACATCTCTCTGCGACCATCCTAGATACAGGAGCCAGACCGGGGACCTGCCCAGCCTAGATAGGATCAACACTTCCTATGAAGCTAGAAAGCATCTGCCCAAGAGGTGAGAAACTAACACTCTGCACACAATAAGCCAGAACTGTAAAATGTATGTGCACAACATTCAAGTCCTGTAGCATGATCAAAGTCCAGAAACAAAGGAACAACCAAGACATTCTGATGGAGTTTATTGCCTGGTGATTATGGAAGAAGACCAACACACACACACACAAAATATGAAAATTATAACATAATGATGACAGCAAAACAGAATAACAACACAACCCAGTTACGGGAAACAAATAAGAAAAGCCAGGTTTCACTGCGACACAACAAGCTTACCCAGTGTAGTCCTGAGAGAGAGAACTGTAGGCACTTGTAGCAAGCCAATCAACATGCCCGCCACAAATGGGGGCCAAGCTCGGGACTCCATCAAACTGCTGCCTGACTGCTCCACCTGCACAAGAAAACCAACAACCTGACAGGGACAAGACTGATTACAATGACAACCTGACAGGTATTATACGTGACTACAATGACAACCTGACAGGGATTAGACGTGACTACAGGGTCAACCTGACAGGGATTATATGCGACTACAGTGACAACCTGTCAGGGATTATATGCGACTACCATGACAACCTGACAGGGACTAGATGTGACTACAGAGACAACCTGACAGGGATTAGACGTGACTACAGTGTCAACCTGACAGGGATTAGATGTGACTACAGAGTCAACCTGACATGGACTTGACGTGACTACAGTGACAACCTGACAAGGGACTAGATGTGTCTACAGTGAAAACCTGACATGGACTTGACGTTACTATAGTGACAACCTGACAGGGACTAGATGTGACTACAGAGTCAACCTGACAGGGATTGGACGTGACTAGTGACAACCTGACAGGGACTAGATGTGACTACAGTGACAACCTGACAGGGACTAGACGTGACTACAGTGACAATCTGACAGGGACTAGATGTGACTACAGAGTCAACCTGACAGAGATTAGACGTGACTACAGTGACAACCTGACAGGGATTAGACGTGACTACAGTGTTGACAGGGATTAGATGAGACTACAGTGACAACCTGACAGAGATTAGACGTGACTACAGTGTCAACCTGACAGGGATTAGATGTGACTACAGTGTCAACCTGACAGGGATTAGATGTGACTACAGTGACAACCTGACAGGGACTAGACGTGACTACAGTGTCAACCTGACAGGGACTAGACGTGACTACAGTGACAACCTGACAGGGATTAGACATGACTACAGAGACAACCTGACAGGGATTAGACATGACTACAGTGACAACCTGACAGGGATTAGACGTCACTACAGTGTTGACAGGGATTAGATGTGACTACAGTGACAACCTGACAGAGATTAGACGTGACTACAGTGTTGATCTGACAGGTATTAGATGTGACTACAGTGTCAACCTGACAGGGATTAGACGTGACTACAGTGTTAACCTGACAGGGATTAGATGTGACTACAGTGTCAACCTGACAGGTTGACGTGACTACAGTGACCTATATTTTAAAGACTAATCGGCACTCGGTGAGTGATGTGGTCAACATCAGGATGGCCGCCTTGACTTCCCAGTGCTACATCTGGTACCCAATCAAGGCTGGATCAACCTGGAAGCCAAAGTCGAGTGTCTAGCTGCTGCACCATGATATCTCCCTTGGATCCATAGTCCAGTGTCTAGCCGCTACACTATGATGGCTCCCTTGGATCCACAGTCGAGTGTCTAGCTGCTACACCATGATGGCTCCCTTGGATCCACAGTCAAGTGTCTAGCTGCTACACCATGATGGCTCTCTTGGATCCACAGTCAAGTGTCTAGCTGCTACACCATGATGGCTCTCTTGGATCCACAGTCGAGTGTCTAGCTGCTACACCATGATGGCTCTCTTGTATCCACAGTCCAGTGTCTAGCCGCTACACCATGATGGCTCCCTGGGATCCACAGTCGAGTGTCTAGCTGCTACACCATGATGGCTCCCTTGGATCCACAGTCGAGTGTCTATCCCCTACACCATTATGGCTCCCTTGGATCCACAGTCGAGTGTCTACCTGCTACACCATGATGGCTCCCTGGGATCCACAGTCGAGTGTCTAGCTGTTACATGATGATGGCTCCCTTGGATCCACAGTCAAGTGTCTAGCTGCTACACCATGATGGCTCCCTGGGATCCACAGTCAAGTGTCTAGCTGCTACACCATGATGGCTCCCTTGGATCCACAGTCGAGTGTCTAGCTGCTACACCATGATGGCTCCCTCGGATCCACAGTTGAGTGTCTAGCTGCTACACCACGATGGCTCCCTCGGATCCACAGTTGAGTGTCTAGCTGCTACACCACGATGGCTCCCTTGGATCCACAGTCAAGTGTCTAGCTGCTACACCATGATGGCTCCCTGGGATCCACAGTCGAGTGTCTAGCTGCTACACCATGATGGCTCCCTTGGATCCACAGTCGAGTGTCTAGCTGCTACACCATGATGTCTCTCTTGGATCCACAGTCCAGTGTTTAGCTGTTACACCATGATGGCTCCCTTGGATCCACAGTCGAGTGTCTAGCTGCTACACCATGATGGCTCCCTTGGATCCACAGTCCGGTGTCTAGCCGCTACACCATGATGGCTCCCTTGGATCCACAGTCGAGTGTCTAGCTGTTACACCAGGATGGCTCCCTTGGATCCACAGTCGAGTGTCTAGCTGCTACACCATGATGGCTCCCTTGGATCCACAGTCCGGTGTCTAGCCGCTACACCATGATGGCTCCCTTGGATCCACAGTCGAGTGTCTAGCTGCTACACCATGATGGCTCCCTTGGATCCACAGTCGAGTGTCTAGCTGCTACACCATGATGGCTCCCTGGGATCCACAGTCGAGTGTCTAGCTGCTACACCATGATGGCTCCCTGGGATCCACAGTCCAGTGTCTAGCTGCTACACCATGATGGCTCCCTTGGATCCACAGTCGAGTGTCTAGCTGCTACACCATGATGGCTCCCTTGGATCCACAGTCAAGTGTCTAGCTGCTACACCATGATGTCTCCCTTGGATCCACAGTCGAGTGTCTAGCTGCTACACCATGATGTCTCCCTTGGATCCACAGTCCAGTGTCTAGCTCCTACATCATGATGTCTCTCTTGGAACCACAGTCGAGTGTCTAGCTCCTACACCATGATGGCTCTCTTGGATCCACAGTCGAGTGTCTAGCTCCTACACCATGATGTCTCTCTTGGATCCACAGTCGCGTGTCTAGCTCCTACACCATGATGTCTCTCTTGGATCCACAGTCGCGTGTCTAGCTCCTACACCATGATGGCTCTCTTGGATCCACAGTCAAGTGTCTAGCTCCTACACCATGATGGCTCCCTCGGATCCACAGTCGAGTGTCTAGCTGCTACACCATGATGGCTCCCTTGGATCCACAGTCCAGTGTCTAGCCGCTACACCATGATGGCTCCCTTGGATCCACAGCCGAGTGTCTAGTCGCTACACCATGATGGCTCCCTTGGATCCACAGTCGAGTGTCTAGCTGTTACACCATGATGGCTCCCTTGGATCCACAGTCGAGTGTCTAACCGCTACACCATGATGGCTCTCTTGGATCCACAGTCGAGTGTCTAGCTGCTACACCATGATGGCTCCCTTGGATCCACAGTCGAGTGTCTAGCTGTTACACCATTATGGCTCCCTTGGATAGACAGTCGAGTGTCTAGCTGCTATACCATAATGGCTTCCTTGGATCCACAGTCGAGTGTCTAGCTGTTACACCATGATGGCTCCCTTGGATCCACAGTCGAGTGTCTAGCCGCTACACCATGATGGCTCTCTTGGATCCACAGTCGAGTGTCTAGCTGCTACACCATGATGGCTCCCTTGGATCCACAGTCCAGTGTCTAGCTGTTACACCATGATGGCTCTCTTGGATCCACAGTCGAGTGTCTAGCTGCTACACCATGATGGCTCCCTTGGATCCACAGACCAGTGTCTAGCTGTTACACCATGATGGCTCCCTTGGATCCACAGCCAAGTGTCTAGCCCCTACACCATGATGGCTCCCTGGGATCCACAGTCCAAGTGTCTAGCTACACCATGATGGCTACACCGAGTGTCTAGATGGGCTCCCTTGGATCCACAGACCAGTGTCTAGCTGTTACACCATGATGGCTCCCTTGGATCCACAGCCAAGTGTCTAGCCCCTACACCATGATGGCTCCCTGGGATCCACAGTCAAGTGTCTAGCCGCTACACCATGATGGCTCCCTGGGATCCACAGTCGAGTGTCTAGCTGCTACACAATGATGGCTCCCTGGGATCCACAGTCCAGTGTCTAGCCGCTACACCATGATGGCTCCCTTGGATCCACAGTCCAATGTCTAGCCGCTACACCATGATGGCTCCCTTGGATCCACAGTCGAGTGTCTAGCTGCTACACCATGATGGCTCCCTTGGATCCACAGACCAGTGTCTAGCTCCACCAGATCGAGTGGATCCACAGTCCAGTGTCTAGCTGCTACACCATGATGGCTCCCTTGGGATCCACAGTCGAGTGTCTAGCTGCTACACCATGATGGCTCCCTTGGATCCACAGTCGAGTGTCTAGCTGCTACACCATGATGGCTCCCTTGGATCCACAGTCGAGTGTCTAGCTGCTACACCATGATGTCTCCCTTGGATCCACAGTCGAGTGTCTAGAGTGTCTAGCTGCTACACCATGATGGCTCCCTTGGATCCACAGTCGAGTGTCTAGCTGCTACACCATGATGTCTCCCTTGGATCCACAGTCGAGTGTCTAGCTGCTACACCATGATGGCTCCCTTGGATCCACAGTCGAGTGTCTAGCCCGCTACACCATGATGTCTCCCTTGGATCCACAGTCGAGTGTCTAGCCGCTACACCATGATGGCTCCCTTGGATCCACAGTCCAGTGTCTAGCTGCTACACCATGATGGCTCCCTTGGATCCACAGTCGAGTGTCTAGCTGCTACACCATGATGGCTCCCTTGGATCCACAGTCGAGTGTCTAGCTGCTACACCATGATGGCTCCCTTGGATCCACAGTCCAGTGTCTAGCTGCTACACCATGATGGCTGCTAGCTGCTACACCATGATGGCTCCCTTGGATCCACAGTCGAGTGTCTAGCTGTACACCATGATGGCTCCCTGGGATCCACAGTCGAGTGTCTAGCTCCTACACCATGATGGCTCCCTGGGATCCACAGTCCAGTGTCTAGCTGCTACACCATGATGGCTCCCTTGGATCCACAGTCGAGTGTCTAGCTGCTACACCATGATGGCTCCCTTGGATCCACAGTCCAGTGTCTAGCTGCTACACCATGATGGCTCCCTTGGATCCACAGTCGAGTGTCTAGCTGCTACACCATGATGTCTCCCTTGGATCCACAGTCCAGTGTCTAGCCGCTACACCACGATGGCTCCCTTGGATCCACAGTCGAGTGTCTAGCTGCTACACCATGATGGCTCCCTTGGATCCACAGTCCAGTGTCTAGCTGCTACACCATGATGGCTCCCTTGGATCCACAGTCGAGTGTCTAGCTGCTACACCATGATGGCTCCCTGGGATCCACAGTCCAGTGTCTAGCTGCTACACCATGATGGCTCCCTTGGATCCACAGTCGAGTGTCTAGCTGCTACACCATGATGGCTCCCTTGGATCCACAGTCGAGTGTCTAGCTGCTACACCATGATGGCTCCCTTGGATCCACAGTCGAGTGTCTAGCTGCTACACCATGATGGCTCCCTTGGATCCACAGTCGAGTGTCTAGCTGCTACACCATGATGGCTCCCTTGGATCCACAGTCGAGTGTCTAGCTGCTACACCATGATGGCTCCCTTGGATCCACAGTCAAGTGTCTAGCTGCTACACCATGATGGCTCCCTTGGATCCACAGTCGAGTGTCTAGCTGCTACACCATGATGGCTCCCTTGGATCCACAGTCGAGTGTCTAGCTGCTACACCATGATGGCTCCCTTGGATCCACAGTCAAGTGTCTAGCTGCTACACCATGATGGCTCCCTTGGATCCACAGTCGAGTGTCTAGCTGCTACACCATGATGGCTCCCTTGGATCCACAGTCAAGTGTCTAGCTGCTACACCATGATGGCTCCCTTGGATCCACAGTCGAGTGTCTCTACACCATGATGGCTGCTACAGTCATGTGTCTAGCTGCTCACCATGATGGCTCTCTTGGATCCACAGTCGAGTGTCTAGCTGCTACACCATGATGGCTCCCTTGGATCCACAGTCGAGTGTCTAGCTGCTACACCATGATGGCTCCCTTGGGATCCACAGTCGAGTGTCTAGCTGTACACCATGATGGCGCCCTATCCACAGTCCAGTGTCTAGGATGGCTCCCTTGGATCCACAGTCCAATGTCTAGCCGCTACACCATGATGGCTCCCTTGGATCCACAGTCGAGTGTCTAGCTGCTACACCATGATGGCTCCCTTGGATCCACAGACCAGTGTCTAGCTGTTACACCATGATGGCTCCCTTGGATCCACAGTCCAGTGTCTAGCCGCTACACCACGATGGCACCCTTGGATCCACAGTCGAGTGTCTAGCTGCTACACCATGATGGCTCCCTGGGATCCACAGTCGAGTGTCTAGCTGCTACACCATGATGACTCCCTTGGATCCACAGTCGAGTGTCTAGCTGCTACACCATGATGTCTCCCTTGGATCCACAGTCGAGTGTCTAGCTGCTACAACATGATGGCTCCCTGGGATCCACAGTCGTGTCTAGCTGCTACACCATGATGTCTCCCTTGGATCCACAGTCGAGTGTCTAGCTGCTACACCATGATGGCTCCCTTGGATCCACAGTCAAGTGTCTAGCCCCTACACCATGATGTCTCCTTTGGATCCACAGTCGAGTGTCTAGCCGCTACACCATGATGGCTCCATGGGATCCACAGTCCAGTGTCTAGCTGCTACACCATGATGGCTCCCTTGGATCCACAGTCGAGTGTCTAGCTGCTACACCATGATGGCTCCCTTGGATCCACAGTTAAGTGTCTAGCTGCTACACCATGATGGCTACCTTAGATCCACAGTCCAGTGTCTAGCTGCTACACCATGATGGCTCCCTTGGATCCACAGTCGAGTGTCTAGCTGCTACACCATGATGGCTCCCTGGGATCCACAGTCGAGTGTCTAGCTCCTACACCATGATGGCTCCCTGGGATCCACAGTCCAGTGTCTAGCTGCTACACCATGATGGCTCCCTTGGATCCACAGTCGAGTGTCTAGCTGCTACACCATGATGGCTCCCTTGGATCCACAGTCCAGTGTCTAGCTGCTACACCATGATGGCTCCCTTGGATCCACAGTCGAGTGTCTAGCTGCTACACCATGATGTCTCCCTTGGATCCACAGTCGAGTGTCTAGCTGCTACACCATGATGGCTCCCTGGGATCCACAGTCGAGTGTCTAGCTGCTACACCATGATGGCTCCCTGGGATCCACAGTCCAGTGTCTAGCTGCTACACCATGATGGCTCCCTTGGATCCACAGTCGAGTGTCTAGCTGCTACACCATGATGGCTCCCTTGGATCCACAGTCAAGTGTCTAGCTGCTGCACCATGATGGCTCCCTTGTATCCACAGTCAAGTGTCTAGCTGCTACACCATGATGTCTCCCTTGGATCCACAGTCGAGTGTCTAGCCGCTACACCATGATGGCTCCCTTGTATCCACAGTCAAGTGTCTAGCTGCTACACCATGATGGCTACCTTGGATCCACAGTTGAGTGTCTAGCTGCTACACCATGATGGCTCTCTTGGATCCACAGTCGAGTGTCTAGCTGCTACACCATGATGGCTCTCTTGGATCCACAGTCGAGTGTCTAGCTGCTACACCATGATGGCTCCCTTGTATCCACAGTCGAGTGTCTAGCTGCTACACCATGATGGCTCTCTTGTATCCACAGTCGAGTGTCTAGCTGCTACACCATGATGGCTCTCTTGTATCCACAGTCGAGTGTCTAGCTGCTACACCATGATGGCTCCCTTGTATCCACAGTCAAGTGTCTAGCTGCTACACCATGATGGCTCTCTTGTATCCACAGTCGAGTGTCTAGCTGCTACACCATGATGGCTCTCTTGGATCCACAGTCGAGTGTCTAGCTGCTACACCATGATGGCTCCCTTGTATCCACAGTCGAGTGTCTAGCTGCTACACCATGATGGCTCTCTTGTATCCACAGTCGAGTGTCTAGCTGCTACACCATGATGGCTCCCTTGTATCCACAGTCAAGTGTCTAGCTGCTACACCATGATGGCTCTCTTGGATCCACAGTCGAGTGTCTAGCTGCTACACCATGATGGCTCCCTAAACAACAGATACATTCTTCTTCTTCAGTGATCAATGTTTGCTTCATGTCTTATTTCAGTATGGGTCACAGCCAGGACAGTGCGCTTGATGGTGCCCCCTAGTTGATCTTGTAGGGGCGGTCGTGTGCTTGATGGTGCCCCCTAGTTGATCTTGTAGGGGCGGTCGTGTGGGTAAGATCTGTGCTCTCTCTGACTGGCCAAGTCTGGGCAGAATAAGACATGCCCTGGAGTTTGCTTTGCTGAGTCACAATCACATGCAGCAGAGTTAGCAAGACTCATTCCATGTAGCCATTGACAGTGTCCTGTTCTGAGTCAACAAAATGTTGGTTCAGGCATTTCTGCCAAGTTTATTTTACTGTAAAAAAATAAAAAATACAGCCAGTGAATACAACAAAATGTTGGTTCAGGCATTTCTGCCAAGCTTATTTTACTGTAAAAAGAAATAAAAAATACAGCCAGTGAATACAACAAAATGTTGGTTCAGGCATTTCTGCCAAGCTTATTTTACTGTAAAAAAATAAAAAATACAGCCAGTGAATACAACAAAATGAAGACAGGCATGCCACAGCTGACCAAGACTGACCTCTGATGTCCAGGGCCTGGCCACCTCCACAGCAAACACCACCATCCCCAGCATGGCTGCCACAGGCAAGGCAATGATGACGTACGGGGAGCCTAGAAATTCATCCAACCTGGCAGAGAGGACATCAGATAATCACACACCTCGTAGAGACGGGAAATATTCACCTAATAACAGCGATCATGCCACAATGACCCACCATAACACTTTCTCGCTAGAACACTGCTACAAGTTCTATCCTCAGATTCTGACCCTCCATTATGGCCCTGGGGTCAAACCAGCCACTTCAAAATGTGCACCAGATAATTTCCCAGAAATGCAACTGCCAGAGTTTACAGTCGGTGAATGAAGAAGGAGATAACTGACAGCTACTGTCTATGTCTGACCATGTGTAGATAACTGACAGCCACTGTCTATGTCTGACCACACGTAGATAACTGACAGCTACTGTCTATGTCTGACCATGCGTAGATAACTGACAGCTACTGTCTATGTCTGAGGACACGTAGATAACTGACAGCTACTGTCTATGTCTGACCATGTGTAGATAACTGACAGCTACTGTCTATGTCTGACCATGTGTAGATAACTGACAGCTACTGTCTATGTCTGAGGACACGTAGATAACTGACAGCTACTGTCTATGTCTGACCATGCGTAGATAACTGACAGCTACTGTCTATGTCTGACCATGTGTAGATAACTGACAGCCACTGTCTATGTCTGACCATGTGTAGATAACTGACAGCTACTGTCTATGTCTGACCATGTGTAGATAACTGACAGCTACTGTCTATGTCTGACCATGTGTAGATAACTGACAGCCACTGTCTATGTCTGACCATGTGTAGATAACTGACAGCTACTGTCTATGTCTGACCATGTGTAGATAACTGACAGCTACTGTCTATGTCTGACCATGTGTAGATAACTGACAGCTACTGTCTATGTCTGACCATGTGTAGATAACTGACAGCTACTGTCTATGTCTGACCATGTGTAGATAACTGACAGCTACTGTCTATGTCTGACCATGTGTAGATAACTGACAGCTACTGTCTATGTCTGACCATGTGTAGATAACTGACAGCTACTGTCTATGTCTGACCATGTGTAGATAACTGACAGCTACTGTCTATGTCTGACCATGTGTAGATAACTGACAGCTACTGTCTATGTCTGACCATGTGTAGATAACTGACAGCTACTGTCTATGTCTGACCATGTGTAGATAACTGACAGCTACTGTCTATGTCTGACCATGTGTAGATAACTGACAGCTGTCTGTCTCTGATGTAGATAACTGACCACTGTGTGTAGATAACTGACAGCTACTGTCTATGTCTGACCATGTGTAGATAACTGACAGCTACTGTCTATGTCTGACCATGTGTAGATAACTGACAGCTACTGTCTATGTCTGACCATGTGTAGATAACTGACAGCTACTGTCTATGTCTGACCATGTGTAGATAACTGACAGCTACTGTCTATGTCTGACCATGTGTAGATAACTGACAGCACTGTCTATGTCTGACCATGTGTAGATAACTGACAGCTCTACTGTCTATGTCTGACCATGTGTAGATAACTGACAGCTACTGTCTATGTCTGACCATGTGTAGATAACTGACAGCTACTGTCTATGTCTGACCATGTGTGCTAGATAACTGACAGCTACTGTCTATGTCTGACCATGTGTAGATAACTGACAGCTACTGTCTATGTCTGACCATGTGTAGATAACTGACAGCTACTGTCTATGTCTGACCATGTGTAGATAACTGACAGCTACTGTCTATGTCTGACCATGTGTAGATAAACTGACAGCTACTGTCTATGTCTGACCATGTGTAGATAACTGACAGCTACTGTCTATGTCTGACCATGTGTAGATAACTGACAGCTACTGTCTATGTCTGACGTAGATAACTGACAGCTACTGTCTATGTCTGACCATGTGTAGATAACTGACAGCTACTGTCTATGTCTGACCATGTGTAGATAACTGACAGCTACTGTCTATGTCTGACCATGTGTAGATAACTGACAGCTACTGTCTATGTCTGACCATGTGTAGATAACTGACAGCTACTGTCTATGTCTGACCATGTGTAGATAACTGACAGCTACTGTCTATGTCTGACCATGTGTAGATAACTGACAGCTACTGTCTATGTCTGACCATGTGTAGATAACTGACTGACCATGTGTACTGACAGCTACTGTCTATGTCTGACCATGTGTAGATAACTGACAGCTACTGTCTATGTCTGACCATGTGTAGATAACTGACAGCTACTGTCTATGTCTGACCATGTGTAGATAACTGACAGCTACTGTCTATGTCTGACCATGTGTAGATAACTGACAGCTACTGTCTATGTCTGACCATGTGTAGATAACTGACAGCTACTGTCTATGTCTGACCATGTGTAGATAACTGACAGCTACTGTCTATGTCTGACCATGTGTAGATAACTGACAGCTACTGTCTATGTCTGACCATGTGTAGATAACTGACAGCTACTGTCTATGTCTGACCATGTAGTAGATAACTGACCAGCTACTGTCTATGTCTGACCATGTGTAGATAACTGACAGCTACTGTCTATGTCTGACCATGTGTAGATAACTGACAGCTACTGTCTATGTCTGACCATGTGTAGATAACTGACAGCCACTGTCTATGTCTGACCATGTGTAGATAACTGACAGCCACTGTCTATGTCTGACCATGTGTAGATAACTGACAGCTACTGTCTATGTCTGACCATGTGTAGATAACTGACAGCTACTGTCTATGTCTGACCATGTGTAGATAACTGACAGCTACTGTCTATGTCTGACCATGTGTAGATAACTGACAGCTACTGTCTATGTCTGACGATACGTAGATAACTGACAGCAACTGTCTATGTCTGACCATGTGTAGATAACTGACAGCCACTGTCTATGTCTGACCATGTGTAGATAACTGACAGCTACTGTCTATGTCTGACCATGTGTAGATAACTGACAGCCACTGTCTATGTCTGACCATGTGTAGATAACTGACAGCCACTGTCTATGTCTGACCATGTGTAGATAACTGACAGCTACTGTCTATGTCTGACCATGTGTAGATAACTGACAGCCACTGTCTATGTCTGACCATGTGTAGATAACTGACAGCCACTGTCTATGTCTGACCATGTGTAGATAACTGACAGCTACTGTCTATGTCTGACCATGTGTAGATAACTGACAGCCACTGTCTATGTCTGACCATGTGTAGATAACTGACAGCCACTGTCTATGTCTGACCATGTGTAGATAACTGACAGCCACTGTCTATGTCTGACCATGTGTAGATAACTGACAGCCACTGTCTATGTCTGACCATGTGTAGATAACTGACAGCCACTGTCTATGTCTGACCAAGTGTAGATAACTGACAGCTACTGTCTATGTCTGACCATGTGTAGATAACTGACAGCTACTGTCTATGTCTGACCATGACAGCTACTGTCTGACCATGTGTAGATAACTGACAGCTACTGTCTATGTCTGACCATGTGTAGATAACTGACAGCTACTGTCTATGTCTGACCATGTGTAGATAACTGACAGCCACTGTCTATGTCTGACCATGTGTAGATAACTGACAGCTACTGTGTCTGACAGCACTGTCTATGTGTGAGATAACTGACAGCTACTGTCTATGTCTGACCATGTGTAGATAACTGACAGCACTGTCTATGTCTGACCATGTGTAGATAACTATGTCTATGTCTGACCATGTGTAGATAACTGACAGCTACTGTCTATGTCTGACCATGAGATAACTGACAGCCACTGTCTATGTCTGACCATGTGTAGATAACTGACAGCCACTGTCTATGTCTGACCATGTGTAGATAACTGACAGCTACTGTCTATGTCTGACCATGTGTAGATAACTGACAGCCACTGTCTATGTCTGACCATGTGTAGATAACTGACAGCTACTGTCTATGTCTGACCATGTGTAGATAACTGACAGCCACTGTCTATGTCTGACCATGTGTAGATAACTGACAGCTACTGTCTATGTCTGACCATGTGTAGATAACTGACAGCCACTGTCTATGTCTGACCATGTGTAGATAACTGACAGCTACTGTCTATGTCTGACCATGTGTAGATAACTGACAGCCACTGTCTATGTCTGACCATGTGTAGATAACTGACAGCCACTGTCTATGTCTGACCATGTGTAGATAACTGACAGCCACTGTCTATGTCTGACCATGTGTAGATAACTGACAGCCACTGTCTATGTCTGACCATGTGTAGATAACTGACAGCCACTGTCTATGTCTGACCATGTGTAGATAACTGACAGCCACTGTCTAGTCTGACCATGTGTAGATACACTGACACCTGTGTGTCTATGTCTGACCATGTGTAGATAACTGACAGCTACTGTCTATGTCTGACCATGTGTAGATAACTGACAGCCACTGTCTATGTCTGACCATGTGTAGATAACTGACAGCTACTGTCTATGTCTGACCATGTGTAGATAACTGACAGCCACTGTCTATGTCTGACCATGTGTAGATAACTGACAGCCACTGTCTATGTCTGACCATGTGTAGATAACTGACAGCCACTGTCTATGTCTGACCATGTGTAGATAACTGACAGCCACTGTCTATGTCTGACCATGTGTAGATAACTGACAGCTACTGACTATGTCTGACCATGTGTAGATAACTGACAGCCACTGTCTATGTCTGACCATGTGTAGATAACTGACAGCTACTGTCTATGTCTGACCATGCGTAGATAACTGACAGCCACTGTCTATGTCTGACCATGTGTAGATAACTGACAGCTACTGTCTATGTCTGACCATGTGTAGATAACTGACAGCCACTGTCTAGTCTGACCATGTGTAGATAACTGACAGCCACTGTCTATGTCTGACCATGTGTAGATAACTGACAGCCACTGTCTATGTCTGACCAAGTGTAGATAACTGACAGCTACTGTCTGTGTCTGACCATGTGTAGATAACTGACAGCCACTGTCTATGTCTGACCATGTGTAGATAACTGACAGCTACTGTCTATGTCTGACCATGTGTAGATAACTGACAGCCACTGTCTATGTCTGACCATGTGTAGATAACTGACAGCCACTGTCTATGTCTGACCATGTGTAGATAACTGACAGCCACTGTCTATGTCTGACCATGTGTAGATAACTGACAGCTACTGACTATGTCTGACCATGTGTAGATAACTGACAGCCACTGTCTATGTCTGACCATGTGTAGATAACTGACAGCTACTGTCTATGTCTGACCATGCGTAGATAACTGACAGCCACTGTCTATGTCTGACCATGTGTAGATAACTGACAGCTACTGTCTATGTCTGACCATGTGTAGATAACTGACAGCCACTGTCTATGTCTGACCATGTGTAGATAACTGACAGCCACTGTCTATGTCTGACCATGTGTAGATAACTGACAGCCACTGTCTATGTCTGACCATGTGTAGATAAACAGCTACTGTCTATGTCTGACCATGTGTAGATAACTGACAGCCACTGTCTATGTCTGACCATGTGTAGATAACTGACAGCTACTGTCTATGTCTGACCATGTGTAGATAACTGACAGTATGTCTGACCACACGTAACTGACAGCGACTGTCTATGTCTGACCATGTGTAGATAACTGACAGCTACTGTCTATGTCTGACCATGTGTAGATAACTGACAGCTACTGTCTATGTCTGACCATGTGTAGATAACTGACAGCTACTGTCTATGTCTGACCATGTGTAGATAACTGACAGCTACTGTCTATGTCTGACCATGTGTAGATAACTGACAGCCACTGTCTATGTCTGACCATGTGTAGATAACTGACAGCCACTGTCTATGTCTGACCATGTGTAGATAACTGACAGCCACTGTCTATGTCTGACCATGTGTAGATAACTGACAGCTACTGTTTATGTCTGACCATGTGTAGATAACTGACAGCCACTGTCTATGTCTGACCATGTGTAGATAACTGACAGCTACTGTCTATGTCTGACCATGTGTAGATAACTGACAGCCACTGTCTAGTCTGACCATGTGTAGATAACTGACAGCCACTGTCTATGTCTGACCATGTGTAGATAACTGACAGCCACTGTCTAGTCTGACCATGTGTAGATAACTGACAGCCACTGTCTAGTCTGACCATGTGTAGATAACTGACAGCTACTGTCTATGTCTGACCATGCGTAGATAATTGACAGCCACTGTCTATGTCTGACCATGTGTAGATAACTGACAGCTACTGTCTATGTCTGACCATGTGTAGATAACTGACAGCTACTGTCTATGTCTGACCATGTGTAGATAACTGACAGCCACTGTCTATGTCTGACCATGTGTAGATAACTGACAGCTACTGTCTATGTCTGACCATGTGTAGATAACTGACAGCCACTGTCTATGTCTGACCATGTGTAGATAACTGACAGCCACTGTCTATGTCTGACCATGTGTAGATAACTGACAGCCACTGTCTATGTCTGACCCATGTAGAGATAACTGACAGCTACTGACTATGTCTGACCATGTGTAGATAACTGACAGCCACTGTCTATGTCTGACCATGTGTAGATAACTGACAGCTACTGTCTATGTCTGACCATGCGTAGATAACTGACAGCCACTGTCTATGTCTGACCATGTGTAGATAACTGACAGCTACTGTCTATGTCTGACCATGTGTAGATAACTGACAGCCACTGTCTAGTCTGACCATGTGTAGATAACTGACAGCCACTGTCTATGTCTGACCATGTGTAGATAACTGACAGCCACTGTCTATGTCTGACCAAGTGTAGATAACTGACAGCTACTGTCTGTGTCTGACCATGTGTAGATAACTGACAGCCACTGTCTATGTCTGACCATGCGTAGTTAACTGACAGCTACTGTCTATGTCTGACCACACGTATATAACTGACAGCGACTGTCTATGTCTGACCATGTGTAGATAACTGACAGCTACTGTCTATGTCTGACCATGTGTAGATAACTGACAGCTACTGTCTATGTCTGACCATGTGTAGATAACTGACAGCTACTGTCTATGTCTGACCATGTGTAGATAACTGACAGCCACTGTCTATGTCTGACCATGTGTAGATAACTGACAGCTACTGTCTATGTCTGACCACACGTATAAAACTGACAGCGACTGTCTATGTCTGACCATGTGTAGATAACTGACAGCTACTGTCTATGTCTGACCATGTGTAGATAACTGACAGCCACTGTCTATGTCTGACCATGTGTAGATAACTGACAGCCACTGTCTATGTCTGACCATGTGTAGATAACTGACAGCTACTGTCTATGTCTGACCATGTATAGATAACTGACAGCTACTGTCTATGTCTGACCATGTGTAGATAACTGACAGCTACTGCCTATGTCTGACCATGTGTAGATAACTGACAGCCACTGTCTATGTCTGACCATGTGTAGATAACTGACAGCTACTGTCTATGTCTGACCATGTGTAGATAACTGACAGCCACTGTCTATGTCTGACCATGTGTAGATAACTGACAGCTACTGTCTATGTCTGACCATGTGTAGATAACTGACAGCCACTGTCTATGTCTGACCATGTGTAGATAACTGACAGCTACTGTCTATGTCTGACCATGTGTAGATAACTGACAGCCACTGTCTAGTCTGACCATGTGTAGATAACTGACAGCCACTGTCTATGTCTGACCATGTGTAGATAACTGACAGCCACTGTCTAGTCTGACCATGTGTAGATAACTGACAGCCACTGTCTAGTCTGACCATGTGTAGATAACTGACAGCTACTGTCTATATTTTGAATTTATCAGCAATTTTTAACAGATGAGGTTGACAGCTGGGAGCTACTTCTAATGCTGACTACATGAAAGGTCCTTTTAGCAACCATTAGCACACACTGAGAGATGACAACATGTATCTGACAGTTGACTGACATAAAGTAACAATATGACACAACAAGCAGAGATGAGAAATTGTATCCAACAGTTGACTGGTTTAAAGTAACAATAGGGCATAACAGATAGAGATGAGAACACACTTCTGACAGTTGACACTTAAAATAATGACATGGCATAACAGACAGAGATGAGAACATATATCCAACAGCTGACTTACGTATAATAACGATATGGCTTCCTGGGATGAAGGTTTCTGTAAACTATAGGCTCTGTCAGTGCATACAGGTATGCCCCACACAAGCCACCGGCTACAGTGAACACTGAAAGTACATGGTTGAGTTCTGACATAGAGTTGAGAACTCACATTAGACAGCACATACAGTTGAGTAATGACATTAGACAATACATACAGTTGAGTAATGACAGACAGTACATACAGTTGAGTAATGATATTAGACAGCACATACAGTTGAGTAATGACAATAGACAGTACATACAGTTGAGTAATGACATACAGTTGAGTAATGACAGACAGCACATACAGTTGAGTAATGATATTAGACAGTACATACAGTTGAGTAATGACATTAGACAGTACATACAGTTGAGTAATGACAGACAGTACATACAGTTGAGTAATGATATTAGACAGTACATACAGTTGAGTAATGATATTAGACAGTACATACAGTTGAGTAATGATATTAGACAGCACATACAGTTGAGTAATGATATTAGACAGTACATACAGTTGAGTAATGACAGACAGTACATACAGTTGAGTAATGATATTAGACAGTACATACAGTTGAGTAATGACAGACAGCACATACAGTTGAGTAATGACATTAGACAGCACATACAGTTGAGTAATGACATTAGACAGTACATACAGTTGAGTAATGACATTAGACAGCACATACAGTTGAGTAATGACATTAGACAGCACATACAGTTGAGTAATGACATTAGACAGCACATACAGTTGAGTAATGACATTAGACAGCACATACAGTTGAGTAATGACATTAGACAGCACATACAGTTGAGTAATGACATTAGACAGCACATACAGTTGAGTAATGACATTAGACAGCACATACAGTTGAGTAATGACATTAGACAGCACATACAGTTGAGTAATGACATTAGACAGCACATACAGTTGAGTAATGACATTAGACAGTACATACAGTTGAGTAATAACATTTGACAGCACAAACCGCTGAGTAATGACATCAGTCAGCACACAAGTAGCAAACATTATGGAGATCCAAAAACATTTCATGCAAAACTAAGATTCAGTTGCTTAGAGCACTAGCTATTAGTACATTTAGATATGGCTGTGAAACGTGGACCTGAACAGCTGAACTTGAATGAAAGATACAAGCATTGGAAATGCAATGTTTCATAAAAAATTTTGGCATATCTCACAAAGACCACATTACAAACAATGGGGTTTGCCGTATAATTGTACAACACACTGGCTACTATGAACCTCTTTTAACTACAGTGAAAAGGCAAAAAAATACAATGGTATGGACATGTAATAAAATCTAACGGCCTCTCAAAAACAAGACTGCAGGGCTCAGCAGAGGGAAAAAGGTGAAGAGGCTGACCAAGAAAGACCTGGTTACAGAACCTGACTGACTGGGCAGGCCTTAGGCATGCAGCCATGAAGTCCATCGCAACTGACCGCCAAAGGTGGAGAGAGCTGATCAGACAGTCAACAGAAACTGGTGACCCACTGACATGCAGTGCTACGGAATGATGATGATGATCATGTATGGAGTCCAGTAACATAACATTACATGTAAGTGATCATGTATGGAGTCTAATAACATAACGTTACATGTAAGTGATCAAGTATGGAGTCCAATAACATAATGTTACATGTAAGTTATAATGTGTGGAGTCCAATAATATAACATTACATGTAAGTGATCACGTATGGAGTCCAATAACATAATGTTACATGTTAAGTGATCACATATGGAGTCCAATAACATAATATTACTTGTAAGTGATCATGTATGGAGTCCAATAACATAACATTACATGTAAGTGATCACGTATGGTGTCCAATAACATAATGTTACGTAAAAGTGATCACGTATGGAGTCTAATAACATAACGTTACATATAAGTGATCACATATGGAGTCCAATAACATAATGTTACATGTAAGTGATTACGTATGGAGTCCAATAACATAATGTTACATGTAAGTGATCACGTATGGAGTCCAATAACATAACGCTACATGTAAGTGATAACGTATGCAGTCCAATAACATAACATTACATGTGAGTGATCATGTATTGACTCTAATAACATAACGTTACATGTAAGTGATCACGTTTGGCCTCATAATTACCTGCACTAGGGACACCAGCGCCCAGTTGGGCCAGCACCATTCCTGGACACTGTTGATGGAACACACATACAGGACTGTCAGTGTATGGGCAACATATGTGGACACATATACAGGACTGTCAGCATATGGGCAACATATGTGGACACATATAGGACTGTCAGTGTATGGGCAACATTTGTGGACACATATAGGACTGTCAGTGTTTGGGCAACATATGTGGACACATATAGGACTGTCAGTGTATGGGCAACATTTGTGGACACATATACAGGACTGTTAGTGTATGGACAACATATGTGGACACACATACAGGGCTTTCAGTGTATGGGCAACATATGTGGACACATATACAGGACTGTCAGTGTATGGGCAACATATGTGGACACATATACAGGACTGTCAGTGTATGGGCAACATTTGTTGACACACATGCATGGAGTTAACTGCAACAGCTTATGGACAACATATATGGACACACATACAGTACTGTTAGTTTATGGGCAACATATGTGGACACATATACAGGACTGTTAGTGTATGGGCAACATTTGTTGACACACATGCATGGAGTTAACTGCAACAGCTTATGGACAACATATATGGACATAGATACAGGGAGGTTAGTTAGAATAATGTAGGTACAACATACATCTAGACATACATGCATGGAGTTCACTAAAACAGTTTATGCACGACATATGTAAACATAGATACAGGGGGTTAGCTAGACTAACGCAGAGACAACATACATGTAGACACATATGCACAGTGTTAACAGCAAAAGTTTGTGGACAAGACAACATACGTGGACAGACGCATACAGGGGGTTAGCTGCAATAAAGTTGCCTGGATTATTACTAACAACAGAAAAAAAAACAATCTGAGAGATGCTGAGGACAGAATATGAATAGCAGAGAGGGAGAACGACTTACAGGACCTAGTAGTGTAGTGGAGCAAGTATACACTGTAGTCAAGTAATTAATATTCACAACATGAAAACTATGATAGCCGGCAATGGAGGGAAGAGTACAACGATGGACACCACAACATGAAAACTATGATAGCCGGCAATGGAGGGAAGAGTACAACGATGGACACCACAACATGAAAACTATGATAGCCGGCAATGGAGGAAAGAGTACAACGATGGACATCACAACATGAAAACTATGATAGCCGGCAATGGAGGGAAGAGTACAACGATGGACACCACAACATGAAAACTATGATAGCCGGCAATGGAGGAAAGAGTACAACGATGGACATCACAACATGAAAACTATGATAGCCGGCAATGGAGGGAAGAGTACAACGATGGACATCACAACATGAAAACTATGATAGCCGGCAATGGAGGGAAGAGTACAACGATGGACATCACAACATGAAAACTATGATAGCCGGCAATGGAGGGAAGAGTACAATGATGGACACCACAACATGAAAACTATGATAGCCGGCAATGGAGGGAAGAGTACAACGATGGACATCACAACATGAAAACTATGATAGCCGGCAATGGAGGGAAGAGTACAACGATGGACACCACAACATGAAAACTATGATAGCCGACAATGGAGGGAAGAGTACAACGATGGACACCACAACATGAAAACTATGATAGCCGGCAATGGAGGGAAGAGTACAACGATGGACACCACAACATGAAAACTATGATAGCCGGCAATGGAGGGAAGAGTACAACGATGGACACCACAACATGAAAACTATGATAGCCGGCAATGGAGGGAAGAGTACAACAATGGACACCACAACATGAAAACTATGATAGCCGGCAATGGAGGGAAGAGTTCAACGATGGACACCACAACATGAAAACTATGATAGCCGGCAATGGAGCGAAGAGTACAACGATGGACATCACAACATAGAAACTATGATAGCCGGCAATGGAGGGAAGAGTACAACGATGGACACCACAACATGAAAACTATGATAGCCGGCAATGGAGGGAAGAGTACAACGATGGACATCACAACATGAAAACTATGATAGCCGGCAATGGAGGGAAGAGTACAACGATGGACATCACAACATGAAAACTATGATAGCCGGCAATGGAGGGAAGAGTATAACGATGGACATCACAACATGAAAACTATGATAGCCGGCAATGGAGGGAAGAGTACAATGATGGACACCACAACATGAAAACTATGATAGCCAGCAATGGAGGGAAGAGTACAAGGATGGACATCACAACATGAAAACTATGATAGCCGGCAATGGAGGGAAGAGTACAAGGATGGACACCACAGTAACAACAATGTTAAAAAGCTGCTGCCATCTCTTACACGTAACAATCACCCTGCAGCCAGGGCTGCAGTTTCAGCAGTTAACCCAATTGGGGTTTAGAACCAATGTCTACTGGCTTGGCCTGCAAGTCTGCTAGCCACTTGACCACTATGTCTCTATCAGAGGAGATCAAACAGGGTGAATGAAACTGATACAAGTGGAAAGCAGAATGAGTCGAGTTGAGTTAAGAATTGACATCACAGCACTCTGGGCATTCCCATGTGTGCTCCGTCCTCATCTTCAGCAGCCAGGGCAGAGTTCCACTACTGATCGTACTGGTCACAATCTGGTTATATGTCCGTCTTGCCTTTCCTCTGAGTGTAGTGAGCCGGCCAGACCCTCTGGTTACACCCAGGTGCCTCATTCTCTCCAGGTGATAATAATCCTGTTTCTCTACTAATTCCATGGCTTGTTCACAAAGGGCCTTGACCACATCTGCCTTGTCATGTGACAATTCACAACCCAGTGGTGCAGATCCAACCAATCTGTCTGCCCATTCATTACCCACTATGCCACATAGCCTGGAGAAAAGATCCAAATTATGCTCACTACCCGTGATCTTCCCAGTGAAGCTTGCCACTCTGCTTGAAGCATCCCTGACTTCACCTTTCTCAGCAGGCTTTCAGAGTCTGTTACAATTACGAAATGTGTATGCATCTTGTTCACTAGCCACCGGAGAGCTGCAGTTAGGAAAACAGAACTAACAGCTTTACAAGAAGCACTCACTGGAGACGTAATCAGTGGGTGATCTGAGGCAGCAGCTGTGGTAGAATCCTAGGCTACAGAAACAAAACTGAGTGCCCTATGCTCCAGAGGATCAGATGGCAGGAAATGACCCCGAGGGGCTAGCAACACTGGCAGGTGACCCAGGCTGTGTGGGGCTCGTAGTCACATCTGTCCACAACATTCTGTCTCCTGTTCAACACAAATGATCTTTCATGCCATGATGTGAAACTGTCCAGTATCTTCTCACTTGGTCTTCCTCTGTCTCTCTTCCCCTCCAGCCTTCCCACCATCCCCATGTACTTGTGAAGGAAGTCAGAAATTTAAAGAACAAACAAATCAGAAAGGGCAGAGCTCCCTTTCAAGCAGGAGATCATGCTAGAGAAATAGTACAAAGTGAAGATGAACTCTATAAGATCATGCTAGAGAAATAGTACAAAGTGAAGATGAACTCTATAAGATCATGCTAGAGAAATAGTACAAAGTGAAGATGAACTCTATAAGATCATGCTAGAGAAATAGTACAAAGTGAAGATGAACTCTATAAGATCATGCTAGAGAAATAGTACAAAGTGAAGATGAACTCTATAAGATCATGCTAGAGAAATAGTACAAAATGAAGATGAACTCTATAAGATCATGCTAGAGAAATAGTACAAAGTGAAGATGAACTCTATAAGATCATGCTAGAGAAATAGTACAAAATGAAGATGAACTCTATAAGATCATGCTAGAGAAATAGTACAAAGTGAAGATGAACTCTATAAGATCATGCTAGAGAAAAAGTACAAAGTGAAGATGAACTCTATAAGATCATGCTAGAGAAAAAGTACAAAGTGAAGATGAACTCTATAAGATCATGCTAGAGAAATAGTACAAAGTGAAGATGAACTCTATAAGATCATGCTAGAGAAATAGTACAAAGTGAAGATGAACTCTATAAGATCATGCTAGAGAAATAGTACAAAGTGAAGATGAACTCTATAAGATCATGCTAGAGAAATAGTACAAAGTGAAGATGAACTCTATAAGATCATGCTAGAGAAATAGTACAAAGTGAAGATGAACTCTATAAGATCATGCTAGAGAAATAGTACAAAGTGAAGATGAACTCTATAAGATCATGCTAGAGAAATAGTACAAAGTGAAGATGAACTCTATAAGATCATGCTAGAGAAATAGTACAAAGTAAAGATGAACTCTATAAGATCATGCTAGAGAAATAGTACAAACTGAAGATGAACTCTATAAGATCATGCTAGAGAAATAGTACAAAGTGAAGATGAACTCTATAAGAACTAGATCACGTAGAAGAGAGTGAGCACTGCTGCTAGAAATTCAGGATTCTGTTGGCTAAAGGAGACTGAATCACGTAACATCTGCTCAATGTGGTGAGTTCAAAACCATCTATGATGCACTGAGTGGAATCATAGTTAAGGATGAACAAGATACTGAAACACAAAACTGGCCATCTGACCTCACGATGCTATAACCTCACATATGTTCACACCTCTATGGAAGGACAAAACAATGAGAGAAACTTACCGCTCCAGACAAGGTCATCCCACATCCAAGCAATGCTCCACCTACAGCCGCACTAGTCACACTTTTAGTCATCAGTGACACCAGGAAATCATCCACCACACTCTCAAAGTGGTCCAGTGTGGCAGGAATCATGCTCAAGAAGGAAAACCCCATCATTCCTGGCAGAATCAAAGTACAACATATTCTGTTTCCAAACATCACCTGACAGTAGTGTATTATTTCAGGCATTTGTGACTACAACAGACCATATATCTCACACTAGTGTAGAAAAAAAGACATGCACACCCATCTTGATACTGTCTGTGACAGACCACCTCTCCTGACACTATAGACACAAAGACATGCACACACATCTTGGTACTGTCTGTGACAGATCACCTCTCCCAACACTGTAGACACAAACACATGCACACACATCTTGGTACTGTCTGTGACAGATCACCTCTCCCAACACTGTAGACACAAACACATGCACACACATCTTGGTACTGTCTGTGACAGATCACCTCTCCCAACACTGTAGACACAAACACATGCACACACATCTTGGTACTGTCTGTGACAGATCACCTCTCCCAACACTGTAGACACAAACACATGCACACACATCTTGGTACTGTCTGTGACAGATCACCTCTCTCAAAACTGTAGACACAAACACATGCACACACATCTTGGTACTGTCTGTGACAGATCACCTCTCCCAACACTGTAGACACAAACCCATGCACACACATCTTGGTACTGTCTGTGACAGATCACCTGATCACCTCTCCCAACACTGTAGACACAAACCCATGCACACACATCTTGGTACTGTCTGTGACAGATCACCTCTCCCAACACTGTAGACACAAACACATGCACACACATCTTGGTACTATCTGTGACAGATCACCTCTCCCAACACTGTACACACAAACACATGCACACACATCTTGGTACTGTCTGTGACAGATCACCTCTCCCAACACTGTAGACACAAACACATGCACACACATCTTGGTACTGTCTGTGACAGATCACCTCTCCCAACACTGTAGACAAAAAGACATGCACACACATCTTGGTACTGTCTGTGACAGATCACCTCTCCCAACACTGTACACACAAACACATGCACACACATCTTGGTACTGTATGCGACAGATCACCTCTCCCAACACTGTAGACAAAAAGACATGCACACACATCTTGGTACTGTCTGTGACAGATCACCTCTCCCAACACTGTAGACAAAAAGACATGCACACACATCTTGGTACTGTCTGTGACAGATCACCTCTCCCAACACTGCAGACAAAAAGACATGCACACACATCTTGGTACTGTCTGTGACAGATCACCTCTCCCAACACTGCAGACACAAAGACATGCACACACATCTTGGTACTGTCTGTGACAGATCACCTCTCCCAACACTGTACACACAAACACATGCACACACATCTTGGTACTGTCTGTGACATATCACCTCTCCTAACACTGTAGACACAAACCCATGCACACACATCTTGGTACTGTCTGTGACAGATCACCTCTCCCAACACTGTAGACACAAACACATGCACACACATCTTGGTACTGACCTACTGCAGAGGCAGTCAGGAACATCTTCAACATGGTGAAGTTGGTAAATAACATCTGCTCTCTGATGATGTGGGGTTCAAACACTGGAGATCAAACAGCAGTTATGATTATTTCATTTATCCCAACATAAAATGTTAAAGGGAGATCCAGGTTTGCAGGACAGACTTTGCTGCCCTGGGTCTTTATGTGGATTGGGGGTAGACATTTTTAGTTTAAAAAAAAAAGGATATATCAACTGCCCCCTAACAAGCATGTCATAAAAGGCAACTAATTACGGTTGTTCCCTTCTAAACTGGAATGCATTTGCCTGAGAATTCGAGGAATGAACAGTCTGTATACAAATAAGCCAGATCTGTCAAACGGATGTGCACACCAAACTAAGGTTGGGAACAAGAACTAAGTCCAGAAGTTGAACAACTAGAACTTTCAGCTAGAGTTGAACAACTAGAACTTTCAGCTAGAGTTGAACACCTAGAACCTTTAGCTACAGTTGAACAACTATAACTTTCAGCTAGAGTTGAACAACTAGAACTTTCAGCTTGAGTTGAACAACTAGAACCTTCAGCTAGAGTTGAAAACTAAAACTTTCAGCTAGAGTTGAACAACTAGAACCTTCAGCTAGAGTTGAAAACTAAAACTTTCAGCTAGAGTTGAAAACTAAAACTTTCAGCTAGAGTTGAACACCTAGAACCTTCAGCTAGAGTTGAACAACTAGAACCTTCAGCTAGAGTTGAACAACTAGAACCTTTAGCTAGAGTTGAACAACTAGAACCTTCAGCTAGAGTTGAACAACTATAACGTTCAGCTAGAGTTGAACAACTAGAATGTTCAGCTAGAGTTGAACAACTAGAACCTTCAGCTAGAGTTAAACAACTAGAACCTTCAGCTAGAGTTGAACAACTAGAACTTTCAGCTAGAGTTGAACAACTAGAAGCTTCAGCTAGAGGTTGAACACCTAGAACCTTCAGCTAGAGTTGAACAACTAGAACCTTCAGCTAGAGTTGAACAACTAGAACCTTCAGCTAGAGTTGAACAACTAGAACCTTCAGCTAGAGTTGAACAACTGATGAATGCGAAAAAGAAGCCTGCACAAGGTCTGACACCAGAGGCATCAAGAAAGAGCTCAGGGTAACACAACTGCTCACCTGCCTCTTGAGTTCATGTGTTAAAATTTCGAATGAGTCCAGTTTTTGTATTGACTGGGCTCCAAGATGACCCTAGTTTAAAATGGTTACCAGGAAATGTTCTGTATGTCAAAGTGTTAGATTATAATACAAAAGCACTATCATGTGCTGACTGCCAAGATATATGTGGGTGTGCGTCTGTGTGTGTGTGTGTGAGCACGCATGTGTGCATGCGCACGTGGGACATCAGTTCTTCCTAAATTTCTTTTGCCTTGTGGGTTCTAGTGAAGGGAGTTTATAGTTTTACTATTATCATATTTTCTCCTCGCCTGATGATGCAATTTATTTAGTTCTCCACTTGAGCTCTAAATAAGTGATTCCATCATACTAACTGAATCCTCTTTTCTGTGCAGGCAGCAGTTAATGAATGTCTGTCATTGACTAGTACTACTTGAGTCATTCTTCATGTTTCTGCTGTTTCCAGCAGTCCTAACTTTATGTTAGAATATTAAACATCTGCTGGATGAGTTGCTACATACAAACTTTTTTCTAACAAACAAAAAAATACCAATTTACCAACCTCTGCCCTTTTCTGCTGCCAGGCCAAACACCATCCCTGACATGAAGCTGATCATCAGCTGCACCCCTGACCTAAATACTGTCGACCTGGGCATGTTGTCGTCGTCGTCGATGTCCCTGTTGCTGTCAACTACCTTGTTGTAGGAACTGTGCACATCTTCAGTTCTAGTTGACATGTCTCTTCTACAGACACCTGACAACAAACACAACAATCTGATCAGCAATCCTGTCATCAAGCAGAAGATTACTAGCATCACTAGTACTGGGACTCTGTGCTGACTACTGAACATGAGATGGGAGTCCTTATGGGAATGTCTTGAGTGCTCTAATGTTGGTCCTCAACTCAGATCTGTTCAATGCCAAGTGTGGCTTATGTAGAAACTGTTTCTATGCTACTGACCTGTAATGCAGCACATGCCCATGGCTTGTTAGCATACACAGTAGCTCAGTGGCTAGCGACTTGCTGCTTGTTCCATGGTCATTGGTTCAAATCCCAAATGAGGAACATTTTTAACTGACTGAGTTCCCAGGCTAACCTAGTATCAGAAAATCCAAAGGAAGTGACGGTGGCCCGCCTGATACCGACCACATAACCCCTTAAGTGCCAGTTGGTCTATGGGACAAGTACCTTGTGTCCATTACACCTCAAGACATGGGTGTCCATGTTTTTTCTTCATTTTTTCCCCTGAACTTGACTCCACATATAGTAAGATGTGCAGACACCATGTCTGCCATGCTTGCTGGCAAGTCATTTGATGATGATGATGATCACAAACAGCAGTATACAGGTTGGCGCAAAATACTAGAGCTCTTTTACTAATAACTGCTAACTACTTACTTTGACTAGTTACTCAAGTTATGTAACTAACACTACAGTAACTAGTCATTGCGGCTTAAAGTGAGTAGTAGCAGTGCTATTAACTATTACTATTATATTACTACAATTAGTAACTGTAATAACTGTAAGTAGTTTAGTAACTGTAAGTAGCTTACTAACAGTAGTAAAACCATAAGCCATAAGACTTGAGAGAAGCACAGACTAGGCAGCCGCACGGAACACGTCGAATCTAGAGTGTACAGAACGGTGACCAGCCAATGTACAACAAGCAAGGAACTTGGGCTACTGCTGCACAATAAACCGTTCACTGTGGTCGCAAGCAAACATTCCAGTCAAACATAACTATAACCGAAACCACTGACTTAGAAAACCCAGCCGACCATGTAATGTCCTCATCACGATCAATTACCCTGAATGTCAGCGAATAAAAACAAAACAGCTGAACTGATAAAACTACAATCACTGTTGAACTTACATTTTCAACACAGTCTACAATCACTGGGCATAATTTCAAGAAAGCGTACAAGTGTGTGGCAGATGCACAAGAAGAACAACACAAACCCGACCAGGAGCAAGCATCCTTTTGGTTTCCATAGCACGGGCTCTGCTGCAAACGTCAGCGGTTGTTTTCGGAAACTGTGGGCCCAGGTTTTCTGTCGAAAAGTGCTGCAATATGGAAACGAAGAGGTAAATATGCGCGCGTGTGTGTACAGACTGACAGACTGGCAGACAGAATACACAGACGCAGTCTCGTTTAACTATTTTTTTCCTAGCTCCCCAAAAAGTGATGTACTCAATACGATATCTTTCAACAACAACGACGAAGGTCTCGTCGCGCTATCTCTAAACAACGGTGATGGTCAGGTAAAAAGCCCGTCTGCACGCCTTTTGGCGTATTGCGCATATAGGACTAGAACTATATTTTATAGACTATTCAGCACAGTGTGGGTGATGTTGTCAGCAACACGCCAACCGCCTTTACTTCCCATGACTGTACCTGGTACTCAATCTAACCTGTTGTCGACCTGAGAGTTTAGGTAATTTTTGAAAAAAGTCCGACTAGTCAGGACCGAAACCCGCGACCTTCCGATCCGCATGCGAGCGTCTAGCCACTATGCCACGGGGACTCCCAACGGTGATGTTGGTCATCACGGGGACTCCCAACGGTGATGTTGGTCACCACGAAGTGTCTGTTACAGTACATTGACAAATGATGGCTGAAAATGGTGCTGGTGCGGTGCTGCGTGCCGTCAGAACAAAAGCCCTGAACAGACAAATGGATGTTATTGTATAGTTGACCGTGTCGGTATTATAGTTAACTGTGTCGGTGTTATAGTTGACTGTGTCGGTGTTATAGTTGACCGTGTCGGTATTATAGTTGACTGTGTCGGTATTATAGTTAACTGTGTCGGTGTTATAGTTAACTGTGTCGATGTTATAGTTAACTGTGTCGGTGTTATAGTTGACTGTGTCGGTGTTATAGTTGACCGTGTCGGTATTATAGTTGACTGTGTCGGTATTATAGTTAACTGTGTCGGTGTTATAGTTGACTGTGTCGGTGTTATAGTTAACCGTGTCGGTGTTATAGTTGACTGTGTCGGTGTTATAGTTGACTGTATCGGTGTTATAGTTGACTGTGTCGGTGTCATAGTTGACTGTGTCGGTGTTATAGTTGACCGTGTCGGTGTCATCGTTGACTGTGTCGGTGTTATAGTTGACTGTGTCGGTGTTATAGTTGACTGTGTCGGTGTTATAGTTGACTGTGTCGGTGTTATAGTTGACTGTGTCGGTGTTATAGTTGACTGTGTCGGTGTTATAGTTGACTGTGTCGGTGTTATAGTTGACTGTGTCGGTGTCATCGTTGACTGTGTCGGTGTTATAGTTGACTGTGTCGGTGTTATAGTTGACTGTGTCGGTGTTATAGTTGACTGTGTCGGTGTTATAGTTGACTGTGTCGGTGTTATAGTTGACTGTGTCGGTGTTATAGTTGACTGTGTCGGTGTCATCGTTGACTGTGTCGGTGTTATAGTTGACCGTGTCGGTGTTATAGTTGACTTTGTCGGTGTTATAGTTGACTGTGTCAGTGTTTTAGTTGACATATGTCGGTGTTATAGTTGACTATGTCGGTGTTATAGTTAACTGTGTCGGTGTTATAGTTGACTGTGTCGGTGTCATAGTTGACTGTGTCGGTGTTATAGTTGACTGTGTCGGTGTCATCGTTGACTGTGTCGGTGTTATAGTTGACTGTGTCGGTGTTATAGTTGACTGTGTCGGTGTTATAGTTGACTGTGTCGGTGTTATAGTTGACTGTGTCGGTGTTATAGTTGACTGTGTCGGTGTTATAGTTGACTGTGTCGGTGTCATCGTTGACTGTGTCGGTGTTATAGTTGACTGTGTCGGTGTTATAGTTGACTGTGTCGGTGTTATAGTTGACCGTGTCGGTGTTATAGTTGACTTTGTCGGTGTTATAGTTGACTGTGTCAGTGTTTTAGTTGACATATGTCGGTGTTATAGTTGACTATGTCGGTAAATGTGCGTGTCTGTGTATTTTCGAGCTGCTGGCTCTGATGCATGACTGCAGATGTATGTCGTGCTTTCGATCAGAAGTCTCTGATCCGGGACGGTGACAGCCGGTAACGCGTTCAATGTTTGCCATCTCATCCACGACCGCCAGGCAGGCGGTGTTGAACATATTTCGTGACCACGGCAGGGTTATCGGTTGATAATGGTGATATTCCATTTGTCCCCGAACATCCACATGTTGGGAATATCTTAGAATATCGTAGACAAGCCCAACAGGCAACACCGGTCGCCTAAGACGAGGCTAATAGAAGTAAGACATTATTTGCAACAACAAGAAAGATATCATATTCTTTGATCTTGTGACAAGAAGAACCTGGGGCTTTTGGTTCGAATCCCACCCGCAATATTTTGCTGGGAGCAAAAGGCGCCACTCCACATTAACTGTTCTCTGTTTTAGAATTTGTTTAAACCATAAATATGATTTAAAATGTATTATTTTTATATGCCATTCGGCACACAATAGTTATTATTACTACTACTTAATTTACCTCTTTCAGCAAAGACTGGATCTGGCCCAGGGGATCCACATTGCGAGAGAAGCTATGGGTGACCGGTGGCGACCTTAAACGCACAATCCTATTTTTGACCTAGACGGGACTCAATGTGTAGCATGACTGATGTCGAACGCAGAAGAAGAAGAAAGAACTACTTAATTACATAAGCCATATGAGGCTCCCCCTCCATAATTTCTAATGTCTGTAGCCTCAAGCCTTACTTAAGTGTGCGGTAATAATAATTGTGATTATTATCACTGCTGTTAATAATAGTATAGTTGCGCAGTTAAATAATGCTTGAGCCGCCCCCCCCCCCCCCACGCAGACAATTATTGGCTAACCCAAAGTTTTCTCTGTGGCGGTCAGCCTAGGGAAAACATGCATTGGGGTGGGGAGGGAGGACTGGGAAGATCAGCTGATGAGTCAAACCGAGGAAATGAGGCTAGATACTCTAAATAAGTCGCACGGGAATATGAGACTCGATCAGACAACAACGACCGATGTTTGTGGAGAGACAGGTAGTCATACACTATCTAGGTGGCAGAAGAGATTATTGGTTCATACCGGCCATCTACATCTCTCCAAGGTCATCCTAGGTACAGGTTCCCAGCCAGCTAAGATAGGATTTACGTTTCGTTCAAACAACGGCCGGCCTCCAGAGAGCTGGAGTCGGTCGTGCATTCAAAGTACATCAGCCTGCCTGGCAGGGAACCAATAGTTTACATAAGTGGGAGCAAAACCTGGACTTTCTGTCCGGGTTTACAGACATTACACGCTAAAAAAAAAAAAGAAGATTACCATCCAGACATGGCACATGATAATGATTTACTAACATAAAAATAGATATTGAGGCATACCAGGCATAACCCATAAGTGCTCTGTCTCCCGCAGCAGTCCTAAGGTGTAGATGCTAACTGTTCCAGTAGCACACTGATTATTATACACATCTCGTTCTCTTTCTCTCAAACGCCCGTCCTTGCCGGATCCACTACTAATTCACACATTCTAACACTTGTTATTTCATGTAGCCTTGTCTTCTATCAACATTGGCACATGATGATGACAAGTTCCCAACGCTTACGCTGTTCTCCGTTTGTTTTTGCCTGGTATCAATTTTGCAAGAACAAGTATTCAGAGTGACTACCCCTGCTGACCAACAACAAGGCTACCTATTTCCGATAAGTGTTGTGGAGAAGATACAACACAGGCGAACTAAAACAGGTTTTTGTATCTGCTCGATATGACGTCCTCCATGCCAGGCGAGGATGGTATTCCCAGGGAGCTGAAGGAGAAGTTGGCCACGTTTGATACCCACCTGTCTGAGTTAGAGGCAGGGCTGGCACCCTTGTTGTCGGTCAATCGTCTAGATCTTAGCGAAAAGGTACCATTTCATTTATTTAAATTAATTCCCTGTGCGGGTTCTGAGGCCCCATCGTGGGGAAAAATAGAATAGACCCACCGCCTACCCAAAAAGCATGTCGTAAAAGTCGACTAATTGAGAGCTTCCTTCGAAGTCGGAGTGCATCTGCATGAGAGGCAAGGAACCAGCAGTCTGCATAAGAAAAAGTCGGGAGATGTAAACAGCGTCATTGCTTGCACAGTGACACGGTTATAAACTATAAACTAAAACCATAAGTGAGAAGTGCTCTGCCACCAGTACGTGAGTACGGACAATTGATTGATGTGTCGCCATTCGCACGTAACTCTGTAGCCATAGCGATGTTCCCCCATTTAGCCCAGAGTGTCAACTCTGGTACCCATTTCTTAGACGCTGGGTAAACCCCGGGAACCACCTGGTCGAACACCGACCGCGGGCTGCTAGGTTTCGGTGAACACCGACTGTGGGCTGCGCTGCAGCGAGTTGCAGCTGGATTTGAAAGTGAGCCTCTTATCGACTGTACTAACGTGGCCCCCACGGATGCACATGCAACACTCAGGTTCTGGAAAATAAACAGAGGGGGAACCTTTGAGGCCATTAAATATTATAAATTAATCAAGTAACAATCAAGTTCTATGAGTGCGGATAAACACACTTTCTGTTACTTGATTAATTCAGGTTCAGGAACAGGACTCTGCAGTCCAAAAGTGGCTGAAAAACCAGAACTTTCCGCCAGAGTTTACGGCTGGTGAACTCGAAGAAGAAGATTTAAATTAATAAAATTTTTATTTAATTTATTACTCAATTCATTCATTATAATATTATTAACTATTATTATATATTTTTAAAATTTATATCCCGTGATGATTTCGTCGGTAACAGTACAATATTTTAACACCTTACATGTTTGTTTAGTTTACTTTATTTACTACTTATATTTATACTAAGTTATACTAATATTACTGCTACTACTAATAATAATATAACTCTATACTATAATATGCACATTACAATTGACAATCACAAATCCACAATAGTGGATCTGAAAATGTTGTTTTGTTGGCACTACAGAATCAGCTCTGTCTGTGAGTTTCTCTCTTTGAATTTTAATTATTAATATTTTATAGTTGGAACCCATTGATGAAGCCAAGACAGATCTGGTGGCAGCTTACGCAATCAATTCTTTATTCTGGAGTAAGTATCCAGTTTTATTACACATATAAAAGCATTGTAGTTCAAGGGAACTCAAAGTTGAGAAGAAAAAGAAATACTAGAAGTTGCAGTTGAGTAATATAGTAGGCTAGGTGTTACAAAGCCTTCATCAGGGAAGTCAAGAAGAGTAGCTGTCACTGTAGTCTACCATATACAAAATGCATGTCATAAGAGGCAACTCAGGAGAGTTGGTATGAGATTGGCTGCTTCAGTCTTGAGAAAAGTTCAGCTTTAAAATGAAAACAAGTCTACGTTTGGCTTAGTTTAGGATATTGGGAGGCTTATGCTTCACTGATGAAGGGAGGTAGGACATACCAGGATAGATGTAAGTGTATAGTCTGTGACACAGACTCAGTCAGCAAGACTTTAAGCAGACAGAAATGGCGCAGGTGCTGACAGAGGTTCTCTGTCTACATGTCTTCTTCTGCGTGTTCACCAGCTGTAAACTCTGGCGGAAAGTTTTGGTTGTTCATCCATATCTGGACTTAAATGTTGTTTCAGAACCTACATTTTGCATGTGCGTCCATTTTACAGATCTAGCTTATTTGTATGCAGACTGTTGGTTTCTTACCTCTGACACATGCACTGCGACTTCGAAGGAAACATCCAAAATTAGTCAACTCTAGCAACTTGCTTGTTAGGGGGTCAGTTTTTTCTGTTGGCCGGACAATGGAGCTCTGGAAACTACAAGGGGAATGCTACAGTCTGTCAGCAGAAACAGTTGATCCGGGTGTTGGTAGAAGTTCTCATGTGACAGTCTGTCAGCAGAAACAGTTGATCCAGGTGTTAGCAGTTCTCATATGACAGTCTGTCAGCAGAAACAGTTGATCCGGGTGTTGGCAGAAGTTCTCATATGACAGTCTGTAAGCAGAAACAGTTGATCCGGGTGTTGGCAGAAGTTCTCATGTGACAGTCTGTCAGCAGAAACAGTTGATCCGGGTGTTGGCAGAAGTTCTCATGTGACAGTCTGTCAGCAGAAACAGTTGATCCGGGTGTTAGCAGAAGTTCTCATATAACAGTCTGTCAGCAGAAACAGTTGATCCGGGTGTTGGCAGAAGTTCTCATATGACAGTCTGTCAGCAGAAACAGTTGATCCGGGTGTTGGCAGAAGTTCTCATATGACAGTCTGTAAGCAGAAACAGTTGATCCGGGTGTTGGCAGAAGTTCTCATATGACAGTCTGTAAGCAGAAACAGTTGATCCGGGTGTTGGCAGACGTTCTCATGTGACAGTCTGTAAGCAGAAACAGTTGATCCGGGTGTTGGCAGAAGTTCTCATGTGACAGTCTTTAAGCAGAAACAGTTGATCCGGGTGTTGGCAGAAGTTCTCATATGACAGTCTGTCAGCAGAAACAGTTGATCTGGGTGTTGGCAGAAGTTCTCATATGACAGTCTGTAAGCAGAAACAGTTGATCCGGGTTTTGGCAGACGTTCTCATGTGACAGTCTGTAAGCAGAAACAGTTGATCCGGGTGTTGGCAGATGTTCTCATGTGACAGTCTGTAAGCAGAAACAGTTGATCCGGGTGTTGGCAGAAGTTCTCATATGACAGTCTGTAAGCAGAAACAGTTGATCCGGGTGTTGGCAGAAGTTCTCATGTGACAGTCTGTCAGCAGAAACAGTTGATCCGGGTGTTGGCAGAAGTTCTCATGTGACAGTCTGTAAGCAGAAACAGTTGGTCCGGGTGTTGGCAGAAGTTCCCATGTGACAGTCTTTAAGCAGAAACAGTTGATCTGGGTGTTGGCAGAAATTCTCATGTGACAGTTTTTAAGCAAAAACAGTTGATCCGGGTGTTGGCAGAAGTTCTCATATGACAGTCTGTAAGCAGAAACAGTTGATCCGGGTGTTGGCAGAAGTTCTCATATGACAGTCTGTAAGCAGAAACAGTTGATCCGGGTGTTGGCAGAAGTTCTCATATGACAGTCTGTAAGCAGAAACAGTTGATCCGGGTGTTGGCAGAAGTTCTCATATGACAGTCTGTAAGCAGAAACAGTTGATCCGAGTTTTGGCAGAAGTTCTCATGTGACAGTCTGTCAGCAGAAACAGTTGATCCGGGTGTTGGCAGAAGTTCTCATGTGACAGTCTGTCAGCAGAAACAGTTGATCCGGGTGTTGGCAGAAGTTCTCATATGACAGTCTGTCAGCAGAAACAGTTGATCCGGGTGTTGGCAGAAGTTCTCATGTGACAGTCTGTAAGCAGAAACAGTTGATCCGGGTGTTGGCAGAAGTTCTCATGTGACAGTCTGTCAGCAGAAAAAGTTGATCAGGGTGTTGGCAGAAGTTCTCATATGACAGTCTGTCAGCAGAAACAGTTGATCCGGGTGTTGGCAGAAGTTCTCATGTGACAGTCTGTCAGCAGAAACAGTTGATCCGGGTGTTGGCAGAAGTTCTCATATGACAGTCTGTAGGCAGAAACAGTTGATCCGGGTGTTGGCAGAAGTTCTCATGTGACAGTCTGTAGGCAGAAACAGTTGATCCGGGTGTTGGCAGAAGTTCTCATATGACAGTCTGTAGGCAGAAACAGTTGATCCGGGTGTTGGCAGAAGTTCTCATGTGACAGTCTGTAGGGTCATGTGATAGGCCCTGCAGCAGCACACAGAACTGATCCCACATCCCATGGAGACCAATCCTGGGGAACAACTGTTGTAACCACAGCTGTGTTTATGGTGGTATGATGTTCATGAAGTTACTGATTCGGTGTCATTTGATCATAGAATACAACATGTAGACTCACTGATTCAGTGTCATTTGGTCATAGAATACAACATGTAGACTCACTGATTCAGTGTCATTTGGTCATAGAATACAACATGTAGACTCACTGATTCATTGTCATTTGGTCATAGAATACAACATGTAGACTCACTGATTCAGTGTCATTTGGTCATAGAATACAACATGTAGACTCACTGCCAGACAGTAGGCCCTCAACCCCCTTGAGCTGCACTAGCAATTGCTAGTTTTGCCTCAGAGTACAATGTAATGTCTGCAGTAGTTAAATGTAGGCTGCCTACTGATGACTGTTAGGCTAACTGATGACTGTTAGGCTGACTGATGACTGTTAGGCTAACTGATGATTGTTAGGCTAACTGATGACTGTTAGGCAAACTGATGACTGTTAGGCTAACTGATAACTGTTAGGCTAACTGATGACTGTTAGGCTAACTGATGACTGTTAGGCTAACTCATGACTGTTAGGCTAACTCATGACTGCTGTGACTGTAGCTCACATAACCAGGTACTAACTACTACTTCTGTGAACCAGGTACTGACTACTACTTCTGTGTTCCCTAGCTGTAATCTCTGGTGGAAAGTTCTGGTTCTTTGTCCACTTCTGCAAGTGTGCACCCATTTGACACATATTTTACTTAGATGTGTGTAGTTTGTTTATTTCTGGTCTCTCAGGCAGATGCACTTTGAAGAAAACAGCTCAGATTAGTCACATTTTATGCCAGATGGGCACTGGAACCCACAAAAGAAAGATGCTGACAGTACGGCACAGGAACCCACAAAAGAAAGATGCTGACAGTACGGCACAGGAACCCACAAAAGAAAGATGCTGACAGTACGGCACAGGAACCCACAAAAGAAAGATGCTGACAGTACGGCACAGGAACCCACAAAAGAAAGATGCTGACAGTACGGCACAGGAACCCACAAAAGAAAGATGCTGACAGTACGGCACAGGAACCCACAAAAGAAAGATGCTGACAGTACGGCACAGGAACCCACAAAAGAAAGATGCTGACAGTACGGCACAGCCTGAAGTCAGTTGTGAACATCGTACACAAAATATGATCAAACTGGTTCTAGCATGATATAGACCTGACCACGAAATACAGTTCTGCCTCCTATCTGACCCTTGTTTAACCCTGTGTGTTGTCTCCAACAGTGTACCTCAACATGTCTAGTGTCTTACCCCTGTTTAACCCTGTGTGTTGTCTCCAACAGTGTACCTCAATATGTCTGTTGTCTGACCCTTGTTTAACCCTGTGTATTGTCTCCAACAGTGTACCTCAACGTGTCTGGTGTCAACCCCAAGGAGCATGCAGTCAAACAAGAACTGGTCAGTGAATTATGCATTTAGTTTGAATTTGTGCGAAGCTGAGTGTTGGAAATTGTGGACTGTACATCTCACAAATATATTTGAATTTTAGAATCCAGATACAGGGCACATTCAAATTAATGGCCACACACACACAACATTTAACATTCATTGATTTGATTTGATTCAAGAACTGACATCACAGCACTCGGGGCATTCCCATAAGCGCTCTGTCCCCATCTTCAGCAGCCAGCGAAGAGTTCTGATACTAATGGTGCCAGTAGCATTCTGATTAAATGTCTGTCTTGCCTTTCCTCTGAGCCTCGAGTATCTGCCAGATGCATCAATCTCACCAGACTGTGGTGATCCATCTGCTTCTCTGAACTGTACACGCTCTCCCACAAGGCACTAACCACATCTGTGTTATCATGCATCAGTATTCCACCAAGTTGTGCAGAACCAGAAAGTTTGTTCGCCTGTTTATTTCCTAACACACTGGCGTCTCCTGGTGAAAAAATCCAGACAATACTCCTCACCCCTGTCCTCCACAACGAAGCATGCCTGTCCTGTTCTTTCTCCATTTGCTTTCTGAGTCAGTTACAATCACGATGTGTGTGTGTGTCGTGTTCTCTAGCCAGCGGAAAGCTGCAGTGACCGCCTCCTCCTCCATTCTTAAGCTGGATGTTGTGGTATCATATGCTAGGCTCTCCTGCACCAAACGTCGACCATTAACTTTTGCTAAGAAGCCCCAAGCACTTCTTTTGTCTCTTGACACTGAACCGTCTGTGTAAATGATCAAGTTTTCTGAGCGAGCATTTTCTTGAATAAATTGCTGAATTTCCACCTCTGTGGCACCTGCTGGCCAGTCTCTGCATTTCCGGCTCAGTGTGAATATGACCCTACACAAGTCTGACTGTTCAGGTGGCACTTTGAACCACTCCTCTCCTCGCCTAATGTTCTCAAGGAGGCAAACCTTTTTGGCTTCTTGTCACAACACTCTCCACATGATCCTTAAAGGACTGGCTCCTGTCAAATGTAATTCCCAGATACTTTGCTCTATCTGTTGACGTCTCTACCATCTATCGTGAGGCTTGGGACATTAGCTTTAAAGATCCTGTCGTCCAGAGAACACCACAAAACAGACGCCTTTTCCGGGTGGACGACAGCCCTCATTGCTGTACACCACTCAGTCACTTTGTCTACTGTCGCTTGTAGCTAACAAAAGGTGTAGAAAAGCTCCAAGACTGTTGGCTCCACGAAACCTGAGACACATTTGCTGATATGATGCTCATGTAGTGTGATCGATGTGGTTAGAGTCATTATAAATGTGATAAGAAATTTAGTGCTAGTGAAAGTGGTTTTAGCAGTGATGATGTGATGTTTGTTTGAACAGACTCGGATACAGAGCTACATGACTCGCGTAAAGGAGCTTGAGGACAAGAAAAAAGCACCTAAGCTCAACAAGGAGGTCAGCAAACGCTACGTGAGAGCAGCTTTATGGAAGGCAGCGCAGCATACGCCAGAGCAAGGTAAACACATTTGTATGTTCATTCAGCCACTGGGGAGAGTTGCGGGTGCCGTTGTCAGACAAGGGTATCATATCTCATGGTCTTGCAAGCCTATTGTTCATATTAAATTTGCTTGATCACAATAACCATTCAGCTGTTAACCAGAGACTGCCTGGGGCCCAGGAAAACAAAGAATAGATCCACTGTATCTCAACTAATTAGGTCATCTGCCTGAGAGACGAGGAACCAACACTCTGCATATAAATGAGCCAGAAATATGCAGGCAAAACTCCAGTTTTATAACAAGACTAAAGTCTAGAAGTGGACGAACAACCAGAACCTTCTGCCAGAGTTTACAGCTGGCAAATGACTGGAGGTATACCAGAGAGTGTTCGCAGAAAAATAGACAAAGAACACCAGGTGATTTGAAGCGGAAAGATCTATAAATGTGCGCCTGGTGTCCCCATAGCAGCTGGGATTGTGAACAGCTTTTAGGGATCAATCACTACACAGTTGTGACATCTGATGGGAGATTAGAAGTATAGTAGCTGGGATTGTGAACAGCTTTTAGGGATCAATAGCTGTACAGTTGTGACATCTAATGGGAGATCAGAAGTATAGTAGCTGATTTTATGTGGGTGATTCTGTGGGATTTTTGTCCTAGGACAGGACTGTTGAATTCAGGTGTCACACTGTTGGAACATGGAGATTTTCACAAACCAGAGATGTGAGTTCCAGTAAAGAGAGATCATTAATACAACTGGCCACTTGCTAGACCTTGGTGGGCCAACACTTGAATAGCTCTTTGTTGCCTAGGGTAGCAGTGAAGTAATCAAATCAGTGTTTCTTCTGTGGACAACGGATGGTCTATCAGCCAGTGCCAGGCTATCTCCTGCATGCAGCTCGCTGCACATTATTCAGGTCTTGTCCATAATTCATCTCTCCCAGTGTCTGTATCCCCCCTTGTTTCTGTTGTCTTGTGGGTTCTAGTGCATGGATGACTGAGTATTTTTTCCTTGTCCTTTTTAGACCTGACTGATGCATGTATTATGTTGACATTTGTGGACACAGGTCCTGTACTGGCCTGACTGATGCATGTGTTATGTTGACATTTGTGGACACAGTACCTGCACTGACCTGACTGATGCATGTGTTATGTTGACATTAGTGGACACAGGACTTGCACTGACCTGACTGATGCATGTGTTATGTTGGTATTTGTGGACACAGTACCTGCACTGACCTGACTGATGCATGTGTTATGTTGACATTAGTGGACACAGTACCTGCACTGACCTGACTGATGTATGTGTTATGTTGACATTTGTGGACACAGTACCTGCACTGGCCTGACTGATGCATGTGTTATGTTGGTATTTGTGGACACAGTACCTGCACTGACCTGACTGGTAATCTGGTAATCCTAGTTTCAGCTTCATAGCAAACGGGTCACCACACACATGCTCCGCTCCTGTGCCAACGAAAAACAAACGCAGCTCACAGTGTCACGCCATGCACTCAACTCAGAAGCTGGGCGACGAAACTACATCCTTCCAGTCTACAAATGGAGCAAAAATGCAACGGCCACCGTCTGGAAAAATATTTGCCACGGCTTTTAAAAAAAAAAAAAAAAAAAAAAAGGTGGCCGTACCTAGCGTCCATTTTGACCGGAAGAATTATATGAGGGTTAATAAACGGTCACCCCAGCAGTACCCTCATTATTAGCTGGGGAAGGGACTTAGGACATTACATCCACCAGCAGGCGTCACCCCTACAACGACTGCCTGCCCTCGTTAACGACTGTTCACCCAACAGCCATGCAGTTCTTTGGCACGAAGGAGACACCTTGAACTTGGGTTTCGTACTGCCGACTCCCTACTAAGATGTTATTTTATGTTCTGTTATCACAATTAATGTCACTGCACATTGGGCATACCCATGCGTGCTCAGTTCTCCGAAGCAGCAGCCACTCCAAAGCACTTCTACTAATTGTCCCCATGAGAAGCTGGTTATATTGTCTCCTTTCTCGGCCTCGAAGACGGCAAAGACGTGCATCACCATGCTTAACTCCCATGTCACGCAATCGTGTTAGTGTCAGGGATTCCTCATTCTCCACTAGCCCGGTTCGTACAGCGTTGACTATGTCTGCTCTGTCCATACTTTTTCCTGCAATCATTAGTGCAGTGCTTGCCAGTTGGTCTGCTCGTTCATTTCCCTTCACGCCCGCATGACCCGGTGTGTAGATCCAGGTTACGGAGGTTAAGTGCGATTTCCTGATGCTTTCTATCCATTCAGAGCGCATGCTGCCTGTTGCTATCTTCTGAAGCATATTCATTGAGTCTGAGACAATTACTACCTGTGTGGCGGTTTGCTCGGATACCCATGCTAAAGCTCTAGAAGCAGCGGCTATTTCCATTGTCATGCTTGGCGTGGTTGTATGGTAAGCGCCGCTGTCCTAATGTATTGTTTTCCCCTTTCTTTGCGCTGTGTATGCCCATGCTGACCTTGATCCGCGCTTCACAGATCCATCTGTGTAGATGATGGTATCTTCTGGGTCTGAATGCTGATCTATCAGTTCCCTTACTTCTGTGTCTACCGCCGCGGGAATTTGATCCCTGCAGTACCTTCCGAGTGTGATGACAACCTTAGAAATGCCATGCATGTCTACTGGTGTATTCGTCCATTCTTTTCCGTGGCTGATCACGTCTAGGTCACATACCTGCTGGATTAAGTCCTCAGCCTTTGCCATCCAAGAGCGGCCCCTTTTGAGACGCGTTCCTTTTGTGTCGTGACTGACCTGACTGATGCATGTGTTATGTTGACATTAGTGGACACAGTACCTGCACTGACCTGACTGATGCATGTGTTATGTTGACATTTGTGGACACAGTACCAGCACTGACCTGACTGATGCATGTGTTATGTTGACATTTGTGGACACAGTACCTGCACTGACCTGACTGATGCATGTGTTATGTTGACATTTGTGGACACAGTACCTGCACTGACCTGACTGTTGCATGTGTTATGTTGGTATTTGTGGACACAGTACCTGCACTGACCTGACTGATGCATGTGTTATGTTGACATTTGTGGACACAGGACCTGCACTGACTTGACTGATGAATGTGTGGACACAGGACCTGCACTGACTTGACTGATGAATGTGTGGACACAGGACCTGCACTGACTTGACTGATGCATGTATTATGTTGACATGTGTGGACGCAGGACCTGCACTGACTTGACTGATATTGACACATTGACATTTGTGTCTTCTGACAGGACCATCTCCTAGAGCAAGTATTTCATCAGCCCAGACGTCTGACTCACAACCGTCCCAGACGTCTGACTCACAACCGTCCCGGAGAGAGGACAAGCGCAAGAGGAAAAGAGATGAATGATGGATAGAGGGTTATGCCAGGGACGGGGAGGGCTGATGTGAGTGAGTGGAGTTTGAGCTGTTGAGTACTGGGATGAGACAGCTATGTGTGCAGGAGTAAGATAAACTACTGTGTGTGTTGTGAAGTGAGTGGAGCAAGTAAATGTGTATGCGGGAGAGATAACTACTGTGTGTGTGGAGAAAGTAATGTGTCTGCAGGATTAAGATAACTACTGTGTGTGTGGAGAAAGTAATGTGTCTGCAGGATTAAGATAAATACTGTGTGTGTGGTGAAAAGTAATGTGTTTAATTGTGTCAATGTAACTTTTGTGTTTGAGTGAGTGGGACTTATGTGTATGTGCGTTATGTTGTCAAGGTCGTGGCAAAGAGAGATCAAACCAGATGGGATAAAACTTAGTGCACCTAAATGGATCCTGTCACCCACATTTGGGGGTCCTGTTAGTGAGATGAATTCCCAGTGTGGGAATCGACCCACTGTTAGTTAAATAAATTTCCAGTGTGGGAATTGAACCACTGCCTTTCAAACACGCATGTTGTAAGAGTCGACTAGTTAGAAGTTCCCTTCCAAGTCAGAGCGGAGATGCAAGGAACCAACAGTCTATGTACAAATAAGCCACATATGTAAAACGGGTGTGCACTGAAAACTTAAATCTGAAGAAAGAAGACTGAGGCCCAGCAGTGGATGAACAACCTGAAATTTTACTGGAGTTTACAGCCGGTGAACACCAAGCAGAATGACATCAATGCCAAGAAGAATGACATCAATGCCAAGAAGAATGACATCAATGCCAAGAAGAATGACATCAATGCCAAGAAGAATGACATCAATGCCAAGAAGAATGACATAAATGCCAAGAAGAATGACATCAATGCCAAGAAGAATGACATCAATGCCCAGAAGAATGACATCAGTGCCCAGAAGAATGACATCAATGCCAAGAAGAATGACATCAATGCCAAGAAGAATGACATCAATGCCAAGAAGAATGACATCAGTGCCAAGAAGAATGACATCAGTGCCCAGAAGAATGACATCAATGCCAAGAAGAATGACATCAATGCCAAGAAGAATGACATCAATGCCAAGAAGAATGACATCAATGCCAAGAAGAATGACATCAGTGCCCAGAAGAATGACATCAATGCCAAGAAGAATGACATCAATGCCAAGAAGAATGACATCAATGCCAAGAAGAATGACATCAGTGCCCAGAAGAATGACATCAATGCCAAGAAGAATGACATCAGTGCCCAGAAGAATGACATCAGTGCCCATCAGAATGACATCAATGCCAAGAAGAATGACATCAATGCCAAGAAGAATGACATCAATGCCAAGAAGAATGACATCAGTGCCCAGAAGAATGACATCAGTGCCCAGAAGAATGACATCAATGCCAAGAAGAATGACATCAATGCCAAGAAGAATGACATCAATGCCAAGAAGAATGACATCAGTGCCCAGAAGAATGACATCAATGCCAAGAAGAATGACATCAATGCCAAGAAGAATGACATCAATGCCAAGAAGAATGACATCAGTGCCCAGAAGAATGACATCAATGCCAAGAAGAATGACATCAGTGCCCAGAAGAATGACATCAGTGCCCAGAAGAATGACATCAATGCCAAGAAGAATGACATCAATGCCAAGAAGAATGACATCAATGCCAAGAAGAATGACATCAGTGCCCAGAAGAATGACATCAGTGCCCAGAAGAATGACATCAATGCCAAAAAGAATGACATCAATGCCAAAAAGAATGACATCAATGCCAAAAAGAATGACATCAATGCCAAGAAGAATGACATCAATGCCCAGAAGAATGACATCAATGCCAAAAAGAATGACATCAATGCCAAGAAGAATGACATCAATGCCAAGAAGAATGACATCAATGCCAAGAAGAATGACATCAATGCCAAAAAGAATGACATCAATGCCAAGCAGAATGACATCAATGCCAAGCAGAATGACATCAGTGCCCAGAAGAATGACATCAATGCCAAGCAGAATGACATCAGTGCCCAGAAGAATGACATCAATGCCAAAAAGAATGACATCAATGCCAAGAAGAATGACATCAATGCCAAGAAGAATGACATCAGTGCCCAGAAGAATGACATCAATGCCAAGAAGAATGACATCAATGCCAAGAAGAATGACATCAATGCCAAGAAGAATGACATCAATGCCAAGAAGAATGACACCAATGCCAAGAAGAATGACACCAATGCCAAGAAGAATGACATCAATGCCAAGAAGAATGACATCAATGCCAAGAAGAATGACATCAATGCCAAGAAGAATGACATCAATGCCAAAAAGAATGACATCAATGCCAAGAAGAATGACATCAATGCCAAGAAGAATGACACCAATGCCAAGCAGAATGATACCAATGCCAAGAAGAATGACATCAATGCCAAGAAGAATGACATCAATGCCAAGCAGAATGACACCAATGCCAAGAAGGATGACATCAATGCCAAGAAGAATGACATCAATGCCAAGAAGAATGACATCAATGCCAAGCAGAATGACATCAATGCCAAGCAGAATGACATCAATGCCAAGAAGAATGACATCAATGCCAAGAAGAATGACATCAATGCCAAGCAGAATGACACCAATGCCAAGAAGAATGACATCAATGCCAAGAAGAATGACATGAATGCCAAGCAGAATGACATCAATGCCAAGAAGAATGACATCAATGCCAAAAAGAATGACATCAGTGCCCAGAAGAATGACATCAATGCCAAGAAGAATGACATCAATGCCAAAAAGAATGACATCAGTGCCAAAAAGAATGACATCAGTGCCCAGAAGAATGACATCAATGCCCAGAAGAATGACATCAATGCCAAGAAGAATGACATCAATGCCAAGAAGAATGACATCAATGCCAAGAAGAATGACATCAATGCCAAGAAGAATGACATCAGTGCCCAGAAGAATGACATCAGTGCCCAGAAGAATGACATCAGTGCCCAGAAGAATGGCATCAATGCCCAGAAGAATGACATCAATGCCAAGAAGAATGACATCAATGCCAAAAAGAATGACATCAATGCCAAAAAGAATGACATCAATGCCAAAAAGAATGACATCAATGCCAAGAAGAATGACATCAATGCCAAGAAGAATGACATCAATGCCAAGCAGAATGACATCAGTGCCCAGAAAAATGACATCAATGCCAAGCAGAATGACATCAGTGCCCAGAAAAATGACATCAATGCCAAAAAGAATGACATCAATGCCAAGAAGAATGACATCAATGCCAAGAAGAATGACATCAATGCCAAGAAGAATGACATCAGTGCCCAGAAGAATGACATCAATGCCAAGAAGAATGACATCAATGCCAAGAAGAATGACATCAATGCCAAGAAGAATGACATCAATGCCAAGCAGAATGATACCAATGCCAAGAAGAATGACATCAATGCCAAGCAGGATGACACCAATGCCAAGAAGGATGACATCAATGCCAAGAAGAATGACATCAATGCCAAGAAGAATGACACGAATGCCAAGCAGAATGACACCAATGCCAAGCAGAATGACATCAATGCCAAGAAGAATGACATCAATGCCAAGAAGAATGACATCAATGCCAAGAAGAATGACATCAATGCCAAGAAGAATGACACCAATGCCAAGAAGAATGACACCAATGCCAAGCAGAATGACACCAATGCCAAGCAGAATGACACCAATGCCAAGCAGAATGACACCAATGCCAAGCAGAATGACATCAATGCCAAGAAGAATTACACCAATGCCAAGAAGAATTACACCAATGCCAAGAAGAATGACACCAATGCCAAGAAGAATGACACCAATGCCAAGCAGAATGACATCAATGCCAAGAAGAATGACATCAATGCCAAGCAGAATGACACCAATGCCAAGAAGAATGACACCAATGCCAAGAAGAATGACATCAATGCCAAGAAGAATGACACAAATGCCAAGAATACTGTTGTGGTAGAGTTTGTGCTAGCAGTTAGGTTTGCTTGAGAACACATTGTCTCCAGTCTAGTGGTCACTGCATGTGAATGTAATCTGAAGATGATGTGGTGTGTCCAGTTTAGTGGTCACTACATGTGAATGTAATCTGTACATGATGTAGTGTGTCCAGTCTAGTGGTCACACTGCATGTGGATGTAATCTGTACATGATGTGGTGTGTCCAGTCTAGTGGTCACTACATGTGAACATAATCTGTACATGATGTGGTGTGTCCAGTCAGATGGCTTTAGCCTGTTTGTGAACATAAATTTGCAACTTATATCTCATATGGTTTGTTTATTATGATCTGTAAATAAATACATGTCGTACACATAATTGTTTGTCCTCCATTGAAAGGAGTGCTGTTGACATCTCAAACAACTGGTTTGTATTTCCACTTTAAAATCCAGTTGATTTATGGGAGATCACTCTGAGGTTTTCTGTCTCAAATGTGATGTTGCACTTCTCTCCCTTTATTGTAAATGTTTTTACTATCCAGTTAAGCATGTGGAAGGAAATAGGGGCTTGCAGTCTTGTATTTCTGGCAACTGGTGAGCATGTGGAAGGAAATAGGGGCTTGCACTCATGGACTTCTGGCAACTGGTGAGCACGTGGAAGGAAATAGGGGCTTGCAGTCTTGTATTTCTGGCAACTGGTGAGCACGTGGAAGGAAATAGGGGCCTTCAGTCTTGTACTTCTTGAAACAGTCGATCGTTTTCACTTGCCAAACTAGGGGGGATCAATTACACGCCCTTTACAGGACGCTGCAGAACCAAACCCTGCAGTTATTCTGGGCCAGTTTACATTCAATAGTTTGCCACTGGCTCCCGACAATACTGTTGAAACCAATGCTGTCGAATCTGCCTGCTGCCGGATAGCCTGCAGCTGGGATTGACCCCGGCATTACAAAGTGTGTTCATGGTGTCTGAGCCACAGTTGCCAACAATAAAACTAGAAAATGCATGACTGAGAATAAATTGT